TTTGCATTCAGATTTGAAATTTTTAGCTTTTAGTTATTGAAGATAAAAACATTTAGTGTTTAAGGGAATTGCATAGGAAAAAACCACATGGACAGTGAAAGAGACTTATAGGCAAAAAAAATAAATAAATAATAATTAGTAAACCGTACATGAGACGTTACTATTCTTACAAAACGGCCGGAAAAAAACATGCATGAATGTATTCCAAAACATTAAAAGGGCTATTTTTTATTGTACGGGCACATTTTATATAGAGAAGAATGCCACACACACACTGACAAAGAGAGTTAGATAGAGAGAGAGAGAGTTTCTTCTGGCATGCAATTTCCTGTTTCGCATTGCAATTTAGTAAAGCGTAATTATTTTAGCAAATTTAATGAATTGCGCAGTCAAGACAGATTCCAATTTAGATGAAATGAAAATCATGAAAAGAAGATGGAAAAAAATGTATACTGTAAACACAGTTTTATTGAAAGAAAATAGTTTTAAAGAAAGAGAAGAAAACAAAACATTTTTTGACTCACATCATGAGTGAACTGAATGCATTTGAATATTATTTGCGTGTGTGATAGTGAACATGAAATGCAAAATGGAAAAAATGAGTGTTTGGTTGTGATTTTAATCGATTTCAGGGCACTAGAGAAATCGATTTCATCCGCCGAACTCATCATTTTCTAGTTAATGCAAAAAAAAAAAAATCTGTTTAGTCACACTTACTTTATTCCTTTAGAAACACATAGAGACTGGGCACGAAAATTAATTTAAAGAAAACTATAAAACATCGCGCTTAACGCAAACACAAGTCGTCTACGATCGTTAAAGTGGATTTTTTTCTCTTTTATTACACTTTATCGACAACATCACACAGCATCGGGAATAAAAAATGTTGTCACTCAACATAATTGTGATCCGAATGCGTCACTTCTGTAACTTATTTATATCTATGGCGGATGCAAAAAAAGAATAAGAAGTTTAAATTAAAAAAAAAGAAGCATTTTTTCTGATTGATAATGAACAGAGAACATATTCCTCGCAAAAAAAATGAATAATCAAAAGCAACAAGAAAAAAAGACAGAAGAACCTGAGCAAGACATATTAAGTGAAACATCAGTTCCAATATTATATAAATAAAGCAAATGCAAATTGCAAATCTGAGCAAAGATGAAATATTAGAGAAAACATAGTAAATTAGACTTGACTATCTAATCGAAAATAATTTGAAGATGAAAGAAAAAAGATGAGGGACTTTAGTAATAAATGGCCAAAATCACGTAATGAAATCACTCTTAATCAATCGACACAAAATACACGACAAAATCGTGCTTATTTGGCAAAATAAAAATGAGAGAAAAACAAATAAACACGAACGAAACTACTACTACTTGCCACAAATGCAAAATAGCAAAAAAACGAATAACAATGACCGAAACAACAACCACATACAAAACATAAATGATCCAAAGTAAAATGAAATGAAGACGAAATTGAAGATGTAGAAGGAGAATACTAAAAGTAAATATATATATTTAGTTCTAATGAAAATGTTCCTATTATGTATTAATTGAAATAACAGAAGAAAAAAAAACTTGAAAAAAATAACTAAGTGAAAAAAGTATCTAGTTGTAAGTAGCTTACTTATTGGCTGTATGTGTCAGAGCCGATGGATACGTTGCAAGGATTCAATTTATTCCAATTGCAGATTCGCATTCGACCATGTGCATGGTCGAATAGAAAACCGTAAACCAAGAAAAAAAAAAGTTATCACACATAAATCCATCAGATACCATTTCGGAATCGAATATTGGCGCGTTTCCACGATTCTGTTGCATACTGACACACTGATAAGTGCGCACAGTAATAAATTTACCATTAAAACAAATCTATAAATATTATATTTGTGTAGTTATGTAGGCGTATACATATATATAGAAAATATATATGCATTCTCTCTCCACACACCCTCCCCCCATGCCGATCACTTTTTGCACGGGGCCACTCTGGGCGAACACACACAGACACAAACACACTGGAAACACTCACTATAATTTATTTCACTAATCGATGTTTTTCATTATAATTTCCCCGTTTTGTTTAAATTTTCATTTGCCATTCATTTGGACAGTGTGTTCGAATTATTATCATCTTCATCAAGTACAAGTACTGCCAATAAATTAGCCCAAAAAACGTAGATATACACATCGTCATCATCGTTCATCTACAATGAACATTACTTTCAAATCTGTGTCGAACCCAAAATAATTTAAACAAGAATCACAGTGCAATCTGTTCACAGACAAGAAAGTGAGTGGCTCATTTGTCTCACTGATGTATATTTCCGTTCGTTGCACCTGACATTATATTTTTTTTCCTTGCGTTTTTTTTTAATTTTATTTAGTTTATAATATAAAAAAAAGTTGAGTTTGTATAAATGTTACTCTTACTACCACTAGAAATGCACTACTTCACCAACTGCCTGGTTTATTTCCGTTTTGTTTTTCTTCATTCAATCATTATTATTTTTTTGTGAAACTTCGAATTTCAATGTTAGTTGAATTTTTTTTTGATTTTCTTCCGTTCGCAAGCGAAAATACATTTCGGGAAACATTTCTAAGTGATTAGTATTTATGCATATATAACAAAAAAAAATGAAATATAAATTAACAAAAAAAAAACTAATACATACGTATTGTCAATATTGCCAAATAATGTAGTAAATTCAAAATGAATGACAAAAAATCGAAACCACGAAAAATTGTGTAGGACGGTGATTGAACATAAAAATAATAATTAATAAAAAAAAAAAACAAAGAGTTATACCCACATCAAATGGAGAAACATGAATGACACACACGCATCAATACATAAACACACACAAAAAAAACACATTTTCGAAACTATGTGCAATCATTAAAATAAATACATTCTTCTTTTTTTTTGTGCGAATATGTTACCTACATTTTACATTGTAATCTGTAATTTTAAAAATGCGAGCTTTTCGAACAGTATGAACAGCTCCAACTCCTCTTTAAAAAAAATTGATAAAAATGATATGATTTAAATTTCCTTTTTTTGTGAGTGATACCAATCATACAGAGATAAAAGAATGATAGTAGTGAGAAAAGTGGAAGAGATTGACAAAGTTTTTTTTCCAACTAAGTGTATCGAACGCATAATAAAATCCATAGACAAATTAGAAATAACTAGACTCCGGGCTAATAATAGGACCTAAAATGAAACACTAAAACCTGAAAAATATCCACAATTTCAATTTCGATACCAATTTATTGATTTCATCATAATTTTCTGCAAGTAAAATATCGCACCTCAATTTAAGTTCATTCAACAACATTCAATCGATTTAAAATGCAACTCTTGTTTCGAATGCAAATGTTTAACTGAGAATGGAAAATAACAAACGATATATTTTCGTTTTAAATTGAATGGATATTTTTTATGGGTTTTTAATTTGAATCCCAGACACAGCAACACATGTCATTATAGAACACAAGACAAGAACTTAAAGAAATAACGTAAAACAAAGAAAAAGAAGAAGAAAACACAGGAAAAAGAACTTACGACGAATCTCACTTACCACATGCAAACTATTCCGTAGAATTGTAATTATTTTCAAAGTCACACAAAGGAAAAGAGAATACGAGATAAAAAAAAAAAAACACAAAAAACCTACAACTATATACATATAAATATAAATACGTATGGTAAAAGGATATTAAAATACATACCAATTACTAAATTTATTAAGAATAATTAAAAAAAAAAAACATACCAAGTAACAAAAAAAAATTAATTTAAAATACAAAAACAAGTATTTTCCAAGGATTTTGAGTATTGGGAATGTTCTATAACCACATTGCATATACCAACCATCGCTTAATCAATTGTGGTCGTTCATTTCATTCAAATTTTAAATTTCATTTTGATCATTTGAATTGTGATAAATGTGAATCTATGTGATGAAGGATTAATTTTACAGAAAATTATAGCGATATTTGATGTCATTGGTTAAAATAATTCATATGGCCAGCAACCAATGACACCAAACACCTATCATTTTCGTATACAAATTTCACAAAAAACGAACAACAACCGATAATCGCTTCATGTATTTTCAAATCATCACGCGACCCGTCATATTTAATGAAATCATAAATAAAAAAACAGCAAGCTCATTTTCAAATGGCTTAGTTTTCATAATTTCAATTTCGCAATCCAAACAACAATTTCGATAAAAAAAACTAAATGACGAACTGACTCATACATCGAATATCCTTGGAAAAGAAATATAGTTCCTATTTCTTATCAAAAAAAATTACTTGAGAGAAAACAAAAAATTTTGAGAAAAAATAAACCCAAACACAAAAATATTATATATTATGAAGTAATAATTAAGTCAAAATAAAGAAGAAAAAAAACACGAGAAAAAAACCATTGAAATCAAGAAAACATGAAAAAAATGGATGAAACCAACATACTACTTATAAAAAAAAAATATGAAACATTATTGAAAACATTTATATTTTACCGTAATTTTAAAAGGTATTACTAATGAACTATGTTTAATAATAATAAAATTAATATATAAAAACAAATATGAAAAATGGTTTTCATTTCCGTTTCGGTTACCCTCATCATTTCTAGCACATTTGACAGGTTTGCATTTGGTCGATTTAAAAGGTTTGAAATTCCAGTTCAGTGAAACACTATATGCGACACCAACAAAATGCTGTCATACATGCGGCTTCTGTTATCACGAGCATGGATTTCGAATTTGAATGCAGATTTATTTCCATAGATTTCTAGCGACTCATTTCGTTTATCTTATTTTCGCATTTGAAAAGTATTTTCATGTTTCTGAATTCATTCACAACACCAAAACTAAGAAATCCACATTGATGACATTTTCATGTATTCAATGGAGTTGTCATTAATCGCCTGCAAAATGCCTGGAAAATTGTTAAACAAATAAAACAGCCCATTGATTGAAATTACATTTTTGTTTTTTTATTTTTTTCGTCTTCGTTCAATTTTAACAAATTGATTGAACTTCCAGATGGTAGATTAGGGTTTAAAAAAAATCCAAATGCTTATTTCTTGGCGGCAACAGCTACTTTCGATGATCGGCTAAGCACTTTAACGATTTTTTGTTCTTCGATCAAGAAAGCACGGACAATACGTTCGCGAACACATTTGTGGCACAAAACACCACCGTAGGTACGAGCGACTGTCTTTTGGCGCTTCGAGATGCGTTGACGTTCCAATGGCCGTGTTGGGCGAATTCCCTTCAATTTTTCTTTACATTGACCGCATTTTGGGACGTTCTTACGTTTTTTAACGTATTGGTAGACCAAACGACCACCTGGTGTACGGACACTGGAAAAAAGTTTCACAAAAAAACAAAAAAACAATTAGTAATGCATTTGAATAAAATTGAATTTACATTCGTTCTAAAGTTTAATGCCAATTGTGCTATGGAATGGTGCAAATAACTTTTGGTCAGTAGGTTTGTCAAACACAAGTACAGAAAACAATCCAATTGAGATGATTGCCTCTTCTCAAATTTGTCTATTTTTCTCTAGCATATATTTCCCCCAATCGATAAACACGGATTAGTTTAAGATTGGTCAACTAAGTAATATGCCACAATTTAACCAAGAACTTGTGCAGTAACAACATACGAATGTATGCACTACAAACTGCCTTACTTTGACTCTCTTGATACTTTATCTTTCTTTAAGACACATATTTACACATTTTCACTTCAGACTAACCGTGGGCTCGAAACAAATTTTGTTATTGTGCATGCCATGCCATTCAATTATTGGCCCTAAAAACACAACATAACCTCATTGAAAGCGCATTTACAACACGTAAACAAATTAAAATTTTCCCATGATTATTTTCTTTTTCAAAGCAACGGACCCCATTCCATGAACACAATTTTCACATTATACATTTTTCACTAAAAATGATTCGTTTGATTTTCTTTCATTAACGAATTCAATTGATACTTACATACGCCGTTTGTTGGCATTTGTATTATACGACAATCGTCGTCGGAGTGTCAATCGCTGAACCATTTTCACACAAATTCTGAAAATTAAATAAAAATCACAAAATTTTTAACAAAAATACCATAACGCACGCAATAATCAATATGTATGGCAACGATTTGTATAAAATTTATTAGTTTTTCATGTAATAAATTGCCGATGAAAAGAAATTAAATTGACGATACGAAAAAAATATTCGCATACCTGTATGAACTTCAAAATGCAAAAGGAAGTTCCACTGACAGCTATCAAGCCATGAAGGTTCACAAAGTGTTCGTATGTCAAGAGTTGCCCGATACAATACGTTGAGAACGAAAACGAAATGATTATGTCAAAATTGTCAGTTCGATCGAATTGTCAACAAAACGACACATCAGATAACTCAAATATCTTTGGACTTTATTTTGATTAATATTTTAGTGCGAATTAAGTGCATTTATGTCATCGAAATAAGTAGCGACCATTTCATTGGATTTTATTTTTTTGTTTCTTTTGGTTGAAAAACGAAAACAAATTTTACAAAGATGACTTCGTTAATTGAGAGCTATGAGCAACAATATTCAGTGCTTACGGCTGAAATTACATCGGAAATTGGAAAACTGAAGCGTATGCCAGAAGGTAACAAGTATGCCAAACATATTGCAAGAAATGATTTCATCTTTGATTTTGAATCGATTGTTTTTGCAGACGGTGACAAACGCGAATTAATCAGAACGATCAATGGAAGCATCGACGAAGGTAAAGAATTGGTAAGTATTGTGTTGGCATCTCTTCTATCTTTGATAAATTAATAAACATTCATTTGTTAGCTCGAGCAAATGAGTCTAGAGATTCAAGATGTCGATTCATCGACCAAAGCCAGCTTTGTATCTCGCCTAAATTGCTATCAAGCCGAATTGAAACGTTTAACGCAAGATTTTCAAAATGCAAAAAATGAAACACAAATTCAATTGTACGATTCTTCCGATTTTGATGAATTTACTACCAGTGGCATAAGTAGTGAACAACAACGGCGCCTTTTGGACAATTCCGAACGCATTGAACGAACGGGCAATCGACTTACTGAAGGTTATAAAACCATATTGGAGACAGAGAGAATTGGCACTGCTGTATTACAAGATTTATCATCGCAAAGGGAAACATTACAAAAATCCCGATCCAGATTGCGTGAAGCAAACGAAGACCTACGCCAATCATCTCGAATTATGAATTCAATGATAATGAGATCGCTACGTGAACGAGCCGTTCTATTTGGTGTTATTATCATTTTTATTGTTGTCGTTTTTTCCACATTATACTATGCCATCACACATTGAAATCATTACTGTTACTTGTGTTAACATTCCAAAAAATGATTTGAATCAATTTGAGAAGAACATAAAATGTTGACTTATATATTTAAACCAAATCTATAATATGAATAAGTTCTAATATTTCTATTTTAATTGTGTTGTATGTGATTTATGCGAAATATTATATTATAAGCAAAAAATAAAAAATAAAGTCCTGTGAACAAATGCAATGAAATATATATATATATATTGAATCAACATTGTTGGTTTTTTGGTTATTTATTGAAAAAGAAGCAATTCATTTATTTTTTATGTGAAAGACGAAACAATATTATTTTTATTGAATTCAATGTCAATTTCAAGAACATATGGTGGATTATTTCTAGCCAATCAATCATTCAAACTTAAATAAATGCAAGGTGGTAAATTACTGAATCGGAACATTTATAACATCATAGAAAATAGTAATTTTTGGTAAAGACAAAACTTTTCTGTGAATCACAATATTCAAAATAAACAGTGTTAATTATAAATGATGCAAGGTAAAGTATTTATTACAATCTTTTGTGATCTTTTTGAAATTATTATTCCAAATATTATTCTAATTTTTTATTATTATATTTAAAATTTTCGTTTTGTCGCACATAATATTTATTTTTGCACATTCTTCTGAAATGAAGAAGTTTTATGTTGAAATAAAATATTGTTTAAATTTATAAAATATTTTGTTTTATTTAAATTGTTATTCAAAAAAATTGATCGTTTTAAAAGCAAAAGGAAATCAAATTGAAAGATTAACCTCTAAAATCTACCACTGAAACTGGTAATGATTTCATGAATTTCGAAGTATTCGAAAACATTTTATTTGGAGGGACCACTTCTATTCAAAAAAAAAATCATTGCATTTCCAAAAATGTCTCATACGAAACTCTGCATAAAACTTGAGCCGAAGATAAGATAAGAAATGTCGATAACATTTTTTGAAATTTTCTCTGATGAAGAAAGTTCAAACTGGAAAAAAAAATTGTAAAATTTTTAGCTTTGATTCAATATGTAAACTGGTCATATTTAAATTTGAAGCAAATTTTATTTGAATTCAATACAATTTAATGCGGTTTCGTCAATCATATAACTTTATGTATCAGTCATCTCTCCATGTAACTTCAACTTCATCCGTTCGATATCTTTGTGTAATTGTTGCATCATTCCATGGCATTCTTGTTCCCGAACGAAACATTTCGGCGCCGGCATGAGCTATCATTACTCCATTGTCAATACAAAATCGTTCATCTGTGGCAAATAGTTTGGCTCCACGTTCCTCGCACATGATGCCCATCATCTCTTGCAAACGTTCGTTGCATCCAACACCTCCAACAATCAGCACCTGATGAAAATACCAACATTTATTGACATATAAACATGAATATGAGTTTTGAATTCGTGGCATGATTATTTATACAAACTCACCTCCTCCGATCCACAATGTGCCATTGCTCGTTCTGTTATTTCAACGAGCATAGCGAATACGGTTTCTTGCAATGAGAAGCACAAATCCTCGTTGGTGTAATGTGATTCACTGTGTGGTTTGGCATTTTGTGTTTTCACAACTTTCTCAATATAAGATAAAAGACCCGAAAAACTGACATCCATTCCCTTTACTGAATATGGCAATGTTAAGAATTTCTTTCCATTCTTTGCCAATTGTTCAATATTATATCCAGGTGATGGATCATTTGATAGCTTAATGATTCGTGCAAAACGATCTAAGCAATTACCGACGGCAATATCGATTGTTTCGCCAAAAATGCGATAACGTTTTAATGAGTAAGCTATGACTTGTGTATTACCACCGCTAACATATAACACAGTTGGATTATTGGCTTTGGTTATGAGACGTCCCATTTCAATGTGTCCAATGCAATGATTGACGCCAAGCAATGGTTTATTCCAAATTTGTGCAATGGTCCGAGCCACAATGGCCACTGTAAGTAATGGTGGAGCCATCCCCGGTCCTTTTGTAAAACAAACGACATCGATGTCGGCCGGTTGCATGCCAGATTGTTCCAATGCTTCACGTAAAATTTGGAGGATGACCTGCCGATGATGTTGAGCCGTTTCGCGTGGCAAAAATCCTTTAAAAAAATTGATCACAACGTTTAATTTATGGCCTTTATGTGAATATCATGTTGTATACCTTCACCGGGTGGGGTAATATATGTTCGTCTCACATTCGATATAACTTCGCCATCTCGGGTGATGCCGACACCAATTTTATTGGCGCTACCTTCAAATCCAATTGATATGACCATTGTCGATTTAATTTTGTATTTAAAAATAACAAATCACTTGAATCAAATATGCCATTTGAACTGTCATGCACATGATTTGCTGTGACGATTAAAGTATATTTTGCATAAAGTACGGGTTGAGTTTTGATTAAAGTAAATGTCAAATTCGTCATCTGTTCAGACAAAAAAAGTGATGAATCTAACCTAAAATTCTGAAGTAAAGTTTGTTTGAAAAGCGGTGAATATTTATACATATTTTTTTAAGGTGTTGTGTAAATTGTCCAGAACACAATGACAACAACCCTCAAGTATGTTGGCAAAAAAACTCGTTGCCAAGGTAAAACACTATGGGAAATCCTTGGTAATTTAAAGGATTTCGGCGTTGGACGATTAATTGTTCGTAATTCATATGCAAGATATAAAGAACCATGTTTTATGCGAGTGATTGAAGTTAAAGCTCAACCAAATAAAGTTCCGCCTCCAATTAAAGTGTATCGACCACCAAATGATCTCAGAGATAACGACGTAAGTCATTGCCATTCATTATTGTTTTATAAAATAATTCATTGATGTCATTTGATTTAGAGAGCTCGAGAGGTGCATATGATATGCGAAACGGTTTTTCGCGGTGTTAAATTCGAACAACCGCAACAAATCGATACCGCTTCAATTTTGCCCGACTACAGTTTGGTACCAAAGCATTTGGAACACACATACACCTATTCAAAGTTAGCCAGCGAAAAACGGGAAGAAAACATTATACCAGCATACATAGAAGTTCCGCCATTCTTAAAGTATCTTCTTAAAAAAGATGGTATTGATGACCCAAAAATTAATACTATCATAAACCAATCGCCCGAATCGCTATATCGTTTAGCCAAAGATGGTGAACAACCAACGAAACCATTTTCAACCGGTTTTCAAAGAGCAAACAATTCGAATTTGTACAAGGGCATCCAAGAAGATATTTAATTAGTGAGGAACTCGAATTGATTCCGAGAATAGATTTAGAGATGTTTTTATTTGATGGCAAAAAGAGAAGAATAAAAAAATGCAAAAAACTCCCATGTAAAAAAATAAATAAATGAAAAAAAATAAAACAAACTGATTTCTTATTCAATCAACAGTTTTCAACTGCGCAAGAAATAAATATCAACAATTCAAATAAACTCAATCGTCGAAATGTCCTTATTTTGAGAAAAAATATGATTTACATTGTCATTCATTACCCGTGTGGAAAAGAGTGACTGACTGACTGTTTAGCTAAAATCGACTGAAATTGAATTTTCTTAATTGAAGTCGTCGACTTTAGTCGTCTATGTATGTCATTTTAGACAGATGACTAATTTGGGATGTTTTTGTCTATATAGTCAACTGCGATTGAAGTTGAATTAAGTTGTATTTTTCTCTACTAGGATTGATTGAAAAATCAGCCAAATCAACTTAAAACAACTTCAATCTCAGTCGGTTATAGCCAAAAAAGTCAGTCAGTAATTTTCCAGAAGGGATTATTTGCACTTATTTCCTAAAAGATATTGTTCCAAGTATAACTTGCTGTTTGTTTTCACATTATAATCGCTACAGAAACACTATTTATAAAAAGATTCGAGACGCAAAAAAATTATTTCACAATGCTGTTTACATTTTTTCAAGATAAATAAATATTTTGCTGTTTTTTTAAATAGATTTCAACACAGTTTTAAATTTATTTCAATTTTCATCGGTAATCCGATTTACCACAGCCTGTCTATTTTTTTGTTGGAAATATTGTCAATAGTTTGGAATTCAGGTACTTCGTAGCTACAATACAGTGACAAGAAAAATACAGCAGAAAAAAATCAGTAAATATGAGTGTTTCCCATTCAATAGGGCTGTTCCAATCATGATCAACCCGATTAATTTCGAGAAATAACCGGTTATAAATCGATAGCATACCGTTCATCACCGAATCCGCCACGTTTTGAAATGACCGATGGCGTCACCGTAAGAAATAAAACCAAATCTGGTTTCAGTAGTCCTATTTCGGGAGCTTTGCACCATTCAATATCCAATCCTTTGGCTGCACTGAATGCAACGCCCGAATACACATATCGGTCAACAATGAGTGTGACTCCGTCGTGTAGGATTTTTTCCATATTACTTTTGGCCTCCCATCGATTCAGGGTGAATAATAAATGAATAGTTTCATCATTGAAATCTTGTTTTTTTGTCAAAAATGAATTGATCAGTGCACCACAATCGGTGGTACGATCCGGAAAATTAATATATTTTGCTGGTCGACCACTTGCCAATAGAGATTTTACTATATTTACAAGCGAAAATAAAAAAAAATCAGATTTGAAACTAAAACATTTGTTTCTCCAAACGAAAATAGTTGCCTTTTGAAAATTTTACCTAATTGTTTGCATTGTCTTGATTTACCAGAGCGATCACATCCTTCTAAAACGATTAATGCTCCACGAAATGGTATTTTTCTACACATTTTGTGACTTGAGCTGTTTTGTGAACGAAATTCAATTGATTGCTTGACTTGAAATCGAGACAAAGTACTTATGCAGCGATCACTTTTTTTTGCCATCAATTAAACGCATTCAACGTTTTGTTTCAATGATTCAACCAGAAATATCAGTTTCATCGCTCCAGAAAGTCTGGAAATTCGATTAATAAAACAAATTTTCTTTTATAAACAACATTTTATTGTTATTATCGTTTTCGAACCATGTAAATAATCCCAATAAATGTGGATATATGAATTCAATCAAAATTTGACTACTCATATACACTCGTACACGATGATATAATAAACTTTATTTACAAGAGATATACATTGGAGAAACTACATCGAATTTTGTTTATTTATAAAACGTAAACAAAACCCAAACATGTTTTTCAAAACATTTTCGCTTGATGAGCCATAATTATCTCTCTTCGTCCATGCAATCCTAAAAATATTCCAATTTGATTGAAATGAAAGCACGACTCGCTTATAAAATTCACAATTTTGCATCGTGAAAAAAATATGTAAAAAATCGTGAGACATCGCAACGTTCTATCTGTGGATTTATTAATATTGAATGTCAACAGAGCACTTGGCAATTCGGCAAAATGTTTGAGATTGATCTCAGGTGCTAGCAGATTTATAACAAGATAATTTGAATACAGTTTGACCAAAGCGTCAATTGCTCTTGTTACGATCAGACATTATATTAGGATATTTTCAGCCAGATGAATCAGCTCAGCCAGATATCGTCAGGAGCTGAAATTGAGTGAAAACAATACAAGTGATTGTTATGGCTATAATTACACTTACATTGCTACAATCACTATAACAATCACTTCTATTGTTTTCACTCCATTTCAGCTCTATTCAATATAATGTCTGGATACGGCATGTAAATCTGATGCAAGTGGTATAAAAATGACCGGTGTTATTCATCACTTTGCTATGTCGGACACCCAAAACACAAGTGAAAAGCATGTGATTCAAGCGCCAATCCAAAATGCTTGAACGATGCCTACATTTTCATTTTAAATCTCAACAATTTATAATGCGGTTTATACTTTAAAAAATAAATTATTTTAAATAATAATGCATAATTGCTTTTAATATGAGTTCCAATGCAAAGCAAGGTTCGATGTATAAACGCACCGTTATTTTCATTTTTCAAATTTGACAGTCTGTATATGTCATTTGGTACTCGCTCTTTCCAATCATCTTTTCGACAGAATCGGTTGTTTTTTTGTGAACGTTCTATCGAGATTCCATTTATTTCAGACAATGGCTACATATGTTGTTTATCTTTGTAATCAGTGCGAGAAAAAAGTCATTTGAATACAAGCATCCGTCTGAAAGTGAGCGTGAAGTCACCGAAGAGTCGACCGATGGTGCAGATTATTGGCGTCCGCTACGAAGTTCCGGCCAGAAAAAACGTAAGTCGTTTGCTCTTGGAGGTTATGGTGATCAGGACTATGACGATTTGTATGGAGACGATGAAATGGTCGAGCATTCGAAAAGGCAGAAAACTATTGATTAAGGTATCACGAATATCGCACCAGTGGGTCTTCCTTACAGATGAAAGTGGCCAAGCAAGATGGCTAAGCTGGAACCAAGCCGACGAAGAGCAAAGAAACTTTAACTTGGCCAGAAACGAAAGATAAAACTATAAAATGGGAAAAAAGTCAAATGAAGACTTTTTAAAATTTGGGTTGGAAGTAGCAGAAAAATAAGCCCCGTATCTGCCATCAAACAAAACAACGATGCAGATGGTTTACACAAAATATATTCAGCTTCTCCTAACGAAGAAGACCAAAGAAATTGACAAATAAACGTCGGCAGCACATATAAAAGGATAAATATTCGATTTCCAGCAAACCAAAGCTCTTGGTGTCATTTCAAAACCGGTGGAGAGCAAAATGTGCGGAAATATAACAACCATTATGTCACATATTATTTATTTTTAAAACAGAAAGAGAAGACTGATGTTAAATATTTGCGTATGATGGAATAATGCTGCTTTCAACACTTATATAGAACGGTCATCGATTATTAAATAAGAACGGTCATCGATTGCATAACGCAATACAAGGATCAACCATTACTACTAAATTGTCCAAAATCATTTCTGAATCTTCAGAGCAGAATGCTATTAATTTCTTTTTTTTTTTGTAGGCAATCTGAACTTAAAAATGTTGTGTGGAATTGCGACAACTTTACCATCAGCACACGGTGAGCCCACTGACAAATTTCTTCGTACAGTAACGCTAATAGATAACAAACGATAGTAGACGGGGACGTTTTAAAACGGTGTTTCAACACCAGCTATTGATCTTGTGTTTTCACATCTAACTGCTTAAATGTACTTTTTGAACGTAAAATCGATCGTGGCGCTAGTGTACGTAAACAATAATCTAAAATTATATATACTTCTACACAATACGCTCACTGTGTAATCATCAGCTTCTTCAAAAGCAGAAATGGTAAAACGAAAGCGATTGGAATTGCCATTTAGGACATTTGTATGTCCCCATGACGATCGTAACTTCAGTTCTATTTATCATGGAGGAATGATTAATCAATGCAAAACGAACAATCATCATATCAAATATTCACCGGTCAAATGTCCACATTACCAACAAAAAGAAAAATAAATGAATTGATTTAATCGATTTTTATTCATCAATAATTATATTTGATGGAATATTGAACTGGATATGCGCGTAACAAAGGATAAAACATTGTTTGGATATAGCGTCTTTGATAAATTGGAATTGGCATTGAAATCAAAGTAAATTCTTGCGCTCAAATAAAATCATTTATGTTCGAATAAATTTATGATTCAATTAACAGATTCTTTCCATAAAACGTACAAAATTCGGGATTATTTATAATTTGCGTGTTTTCTTTTAAATAAATAGAGAGTTTGAATGTGGTAAAATGTAATTAATTCAAGCAGGTGTCTGTCGATTTTGCTGCTCAGCGAAATATCTATGTTTATTTTGACAGTCTTTGATTTTACATTCTTTACATTCAGAGGTGTATAATTAATTTGAGACGAAAGTGACATGCGTAAATGTTGAGTGTCTTTTGCAATAAGACAATTTGCTTGTCTAGACTACATACAGTGTATTTATGCCAGTGAGGAGATGAAGATCTTTTCAGGGTTTACCGAAATGTTATACGCTTCAATCGCACAATGTATATATGATCTAATTGAAATAAGCATAGACCATCGAATCTCCTCCGCTCATTATTTATTCGAACTAGCATTTTCAATGTACACCATCAATAGTTTCTATATATTCTATATTTTTGGGTCGAAACTTTGTATTAATATGTCAAATTAAAAATTTAAAATAAATTGCCGTACTTTTTTGAGCTTTGATATAGTTGGTGAGTTGGTGCGCTAAAATGTTGCACTTACTCTGCTCGTATATCGTAGTATCATCTCGGTCGTTATTCATAGCGCCAGAATGTTCGAAACTATACATACACATACATCGAAGTCGAGTAACTACATTGGAATGAATGATATTAGTGAAGGCAGCCGATCCACTTTGAGCGTATTTTAAAATTTCTGATTTCACAAATGAAGGCGCTTGAAAATGAGAAGCTCTGTTTAAAATGCGACCACTGTATCAGGCGTCGCTCCTGATCAAATAAATTCAATTGGCATACGAAAAAGAGATGGAGAGAAGTGTTTGTGATCGATGTAGAAGAGAAAGTGATCGAGATCGCGTATAAGAGGATGAAATGGGAGAGAAAATTCTGGCGTGAAAAATAATAAAAAAAAGTTCATATACTATACACACATTTATATTGTTTTTTTTTTTTATTGTGATCGTTCATCTCGCACGAATCTCCTCCACTTTCCACACAAACACACACGCCGCACATCCATCGCGCATTGTTGTTTATGGTGCACATGATGTAAAAATAAGACAAATGGCTGAACAAAAATATACACGGCCGTTGCCTGTGGCATAATTTTTCTCGCCTGTGAGTGAAAAAGAGTGTCTAATTCAGCTGCCGTTGATGCTGTCATTCGATCGCTTCGATATATATACACATTCGTCTATCTGTGTTAATCGAGTGATGTAGGAAAGGGGCAATACGGACTTGTCTCTCTAGCCGCGAATACACATATATTCTTGTGGCTAACAATATTAAACTAATCATTAATTTGATCCGATTCCTGAATTTTGCTTGTGAGTGTTGTTCGATTTTCGAGAATTTGTTTTTTTTTTTTGTTTCTTCTCATTTGGTTTTTTTTTGTTCGTTCCTTTTTATTCTGCTGTTGTTGTTGTTATTTTGTTTTTCTCTGAACGCCCGAGTGTATTGTCGTTGTTTTTTCCGCCATTCATGCGGTTCTGAGAATCTCAATCATTTTGAGATCGTTTTCGAAACAGTAGTGTAGCGTGCGCGTTGATCATAATATACAGAGATTTACTGAAAGAAGAAATTTTCTTTCTCTCTTTCTACATCGAAACATTTTTTAGGTGAAGATTGGTGGCACGAAGAAATTATTACATAATTTCCTTGATTTTTTTTTTAAATAAAAAAAGTACGGCTCAACAGAAAGCAAAAAAAAAACACACACTTTTTTATTGAGTGCAATTGATTGGCCAAAGTAAATTCAAGTTTTTAACACAGAGAAAAAAAACTAACAAGCGTGTGAACAATAAAGGGAAAAACTGAAATAAATAAAAATAAAACCTTAGTTGGGCGTAGTGCGTTAGTAGTACAAAAGATAAAGAAAAAAGTTCGGTCTTCAAAAGCTCCTTTTTTAATTAAATCGTAATCGATTTTACATTTCAATAGGATAACGGATTGGCTGAGTTAGAAACGACAACAATTTATCGTAACTGAAATTTTCACGAAATACATAGAGCAAGAGCTAGAGAAATGGAGGTATCTGAAACAACAACTGGACAAAATGTGCAAAAATCATCATCCAGCACATCGGAAACTGTGAATGAGGTTAGTCTTTCTCATCTCGGCCAAACGAATAATATACAAAATAGAAACATATCTACTACTATTTTAACTTCTTTTTTTTTCTTAACGCAAATTATGAGATTGGTTTGACGGAAGTTTGAATCGAAAAAAAACCGCATTAATCTAAAGAAAATGACAAACAAACAAAAAAAAATTAACTAAAGTTTGATCAAACAAGTGCTTCTTAACATGCATTCCACACAATAAAAATTTTGCCAAATAAATGTGAAATGGTGCGCGCGCTTTTGAGAGGAAAATAAAACAAAATGTAATGAATTTTATTGTAAATATATACGCACTTCAGAGCTGTTTGTGTGCTTTTGTTTATTTTAAAAAAAAGAGGATATAACGCTTTATGCTTTCGAATCGATAAAATTAGCAATCACTTTTATTTCGATATTTATAAGATTTCAACGAAAAAAAGGAAGAAATATTGCCGTAAATAAGAGTCTTACAATTTTCATATTCATTTAATTCGTGGTTTTTTAATGCGTGGGCTGTGGTCATCGAACTAATTAAGATTTAAATGCATACAATTTCATCCATACACATCACAAGAGCATCGACGCACTCGATATAACTTTGGATTCACTGTGCTTGCATAACAGATAATAAACAAATTTCGCATATGTATATATAAAAATGTTTAATTCTTTGCCCCAACATAATGCGAACATTCTCATTTATTTCATTTGACTTTTCGAAACATTTGAAGGTTCACATTGATAAATGGAAGAAAGAGGACACTGAAAACATCACACGCCCGAAAAATTGTGTGAAAAATGCGAAAATTTATTAAATTTTAATCCAACCTAAATCCGACCGTTCGCATAATAGCAACGGCGATTTTCATGTGATGGTCATCATGATAATATCAACAGATTGCGGGGTTTTTCTTCGCAGCTAGCTCGGACGAATATATCTTATTCTACTCTTTCTGTGTCTCTCATCAACATATATATATATATATAAATTACATAATTTCGATCGACAAACAAGCGTATGCCGATTTCTTCTGTCTAGTTATTCGTTGCTATCGTCGTCTAAATAATTCATTTGCATTTGCATTAGTTCATCTCATTTTATTTTGCTTCATACAAGATCGCAAAAGTACGCAGGCCTTCAGCTTCAACAACTGTTTAAACATGCTTGCTAATTACCGATCGATACACATACATTGCGATGCGTGTTCGGGTTTTTGTTTTGATTATAAATTACCATGACAAATCAAACATCGTATTTTTTGCAAATGATCCTGCTTTTTTCCCGCAAAACATATCAATTAATTAGAAATTTCATTCAGTTTGCTTAATATAAATGACGTCGTTTTCTGCGACGCATAACAACATTGGAAGAAATGGCAAAGGATTTTGCTATGTGTAAATATGATTGAAAGTGCCCAATGATAATGATTTATATGGTGGCGTATCGTCATCGTACACAAAGAGTGGTGCCCATGTCATGCTTTGTTGTTGTTATTTCACTTGTTCGATGTGTGTCTGTGTGTGGTGTGTGTTGTAATTCATTTTAGAACGAAAGCAGAGCTTAATGTGAGGCCGAAAAACAGTGATATCATCTCTGTTATGACAAACAAGTGGAAAATTGGCCATGAAATGATGTCATTCATGTTGAAATGTGACTTTAAAACTTTGCTTATGACATTTGTTTGTGATATTCAATTTTACTAATAATTAAATCAAAATCCGCGGCTTTATGTAAATAAATCGAAATGACCGAATATCAGATCGCATTGTGATCTATTCACGATGTATCCAATTGCGATAGATTTTATCAATCAAATGTACAAAAATAAGCTACCGAACACACTCATTAATATCGAATTGGTTACTTTATTTATTTATGGCATGTGTCGATATACAAATATTCAAATTCAAACTCAACTAAAAAAAAAACACTGCGAGAGTGAAGCCAAAACACTTCTAGAGCGCGTCAATCTTGTTATATGTGAAATAAATTTTGTTGTAAATATGATTCTCTATTTTTGTTGTTGTGGTTGTTGTTATTATTATTATTATTTTTGGGTTCAATGTTCTGCATTCTGCATGTTCCAATCTGGCCAAACCATGTGCTACCGTGCAATGTACAGACGCACAATTTTAGATGTTTTGCAACACGTTTTTTCCCCCAGAGCATCACTTCCTCAAAAATCACAATATTGGCAATAGTTTTTATTCCAATTTTTCTCTCGGTTTGACTGCTGATGCTCGTGCACGATGTAATCAGCATGTGCATTACGTTATTATAATTATATCATTACCATTTTGAGCGCATTTACACACTTGATGCGCCCACAAATGTTCGATCTGTTTCACATTATATTTGATGTCTATATCGATAGTAATTTTTTTTTTAATTCCCTTCCTCTCTATCTCTCTTTCCTTGTTCTTTCCATTCGTTGCATATTATCCCCTGCATATGACATATCTATACACACGGGGATGTCTGTCTCTCTTTTTCTTTCTCTTCTTCTTTTAGTCGAGTTTTGAAAAGTTGGCTCATGGCACGGTCGAAAGTAAATTGAAAATGCAAAAAAGCTCAGAACAAAGCATTGAACAATCGGCCAATTCATCGAAATTTCAATCGGTGGATGTTGCAAAATCATTGCAAACAACGGAATCGGTATCGACAAATATGGTGAGCACATCACAACGCAGCATCAAAACATCATCGTCCGTCATGCAGAGCGTAAAAATCGGCATTTCAAGCACTGAAATCACCGAAATTGAATTTGAATAACAAGTACATACATCCACACACACACACACTCTATCTCTCTCCCTCGAGCGTAAATTGTGTCGCCGCGATAAGCCACTATTACTTATTGTATTTGTTGCAATTACACAATTAATACAAAAGATGTTAGCTCTAATGAAATTTTTCCCTTTTCTAAAGAAAATAACAACAACAATCATTACATGAACAAAATAAAAAGCAAATCAAAATTTGAATTGGTTTTAAATAAAAGAATTGGTCTAAATGGTTTATTAAAAATCATCTTGATTTGGGCACGTGTGTGTGATAAAAACAAAATTATATTTCAATAAAGGTCATTGTGACAACGAATGAAAGCGAACATCTTTATTTCATTTTAGTTTATTTTTCCTTCTCTATGATGTATTGACAAACATTTGGCGAATACAGGAAATAATGTGAAATTAGAGAGCGAATGAATAAATGTGTGTGTGTTAAAAAAAATGAGATGTGAGCTGTAAACCGGCGATGTAGGATTCCACAAAAACTGAACGTGACGTCTTTATTACATTTTCAACGGACGAGGCGAGAGCCAAGGCGCTAACTGAATGACTTCTTATGAAATAACATTTAGTGAGTGCGAGCAAAAATGATAAAATTTGATGTCTTCTTTTATAAATAAATAGAACTAATGGATCCGTTCACACAAATAATTATTGATTGTGTGAATATTCGGCGACGGAGGACGTGCAAGCAAAAAAAAAATATTTGAAAACAAAAACAAGTTGTTGAGAGTGTTCCTTGTTCGTTGCGAAAAGTGCTCACAGAATAAACTGAATGAAAAGCAAAAGCATTGTTCTTCATCGACAAATTCTAAATAGTTAAATAAATAAATAAAAATGTTATCCTATTTTATGGGACCTTTACTTATAAATATTTTCACTCGCAAATTGAAATTCTGTCGTATGCTGCGCAGAGTTAAAATCTGGTGGGTATAATTTATCTGTTGACTCAGTCTTCTCTCTCGCCCTCTCTCGTTCTCTATCTTACGAGCGCCGCACGCTTTTTTTTTTCTTCTTCGTGCACAAAAGCTATACTAGAGTACATGCTTTCAATCAACGGATATTATCGTCGAAGAATATTTTTGCGTGTAGGATTCGCAACAACAACATCTTGCGGCCCGCCCAAAAATGAACGAAAACAAAAATCCATATAAATAAATCCATACGAATCTCGTCGTAGAGATTAAAGTTAACGAAAAACAAAAAAATAACCATTAAAGTAGTAATCATTGTGCACGATAGACTACAACAAACTGAATTGGTCAGGTTGATGTGTGTTTGTATCTCTGTATATGTGTGTGTCTGGCGAGCGGCTACTAATGGTCGAATGTTGAAATTTTTGTAAAAATATGCATATTACACAAAATAATAATGATCCATTTTGATATAAAAAAACGTGTTTGCAGCTGTTTGGCTAAAAATAATGGATTTCATTAGAAACGAAATGTACGATGAGAAATATAAAAACTGGCAAATAGAATCATTTCCATTTCATTCATTTACCGCAAAACTTCAATTGCTTCTAACGAAAAAAAAAAAGAGAATCACTCTCACTCAAAATATTATCCGAAAAATGTTCTTTTTAATTGGGCGAATCATTTAATTTAAACAAATACATGTTTCATATTCATTTGCTTTTGCATATATACACGAATATAGTCGTTTTTCATTGCTATTCATCATCATTGAGATTTGATCAATACTCATAAAATATCTGTATTTCATAGCATTCAGTGCTCTGTGACCCATAAAAAAATTAATTTTAGCATTTTTAGCCGCTTCGCACAAACTCAGAAAATAATATAAAATGCTCAAAAGCAACGAATTATTATACATTTGCGCCTGCTTGCGATCATTTAAGTTCCATTTGTCTTTGGTTTTCCACCGACACTTTTCTCTTTCCATCTCTTTTTCTCTTCCATCATTTTTGGCGTGATAAAAAAAAAGAAACAAAACACAACGTTTGCTGGCTAACATTTTAATGGTGTGACATGTGACTATTAAAACAAATGTAATAAAGAACAATAACGTGGCATCCGTTTGCTTTCACATGCTAAAAAACCATATAACAGCGACACAGACATTAATTATCTGAATATATTACTCAATGGGCTCATCATTTTTCTCATCTAGACGGTTGTAAAGACTGAAGTAACCAAGGTTGTCAATGGCGATAGCGAGAAAACAGTTTCAGTTTCAACAACAATCGCTGTTGCACCCACCGAAAATGGAACCAAAGATCAAAACGATGAAACCGAAGAAATTGTTGAGGTGATTGAAGTGACCGACGATGAAAGTGGCGAAGAAGAGGTCATTGAAACCACCACCACAACAACAACAACAAAAACACCGGCAGTAGCAAAAACACCATCGGTTGATGCTTCGGCCGCTAAGCCAGAGGTAAAAGCTCAAAAATCGGTAGAAAAACAAGCTACCATTGAAAAGCAAGCAACGATTGAAGAGCAAGCGACAAACACTTTTCCGACTGCGGCAACCATTAAGAAACAAGTTACAATTGAAAGACAGGCTACCAATGATCCTGAAGATTCATCGTCTGCAGACGAAGTCGAAGTAGAAGAAGAAGAGGAAGAAGAAGTAGTTAGCAAAACAACAAATTGTGTGGCAACTACAGCTGAAACTTCTGAAACTGCTGAAACACCTCAACATGCTGTTGTAATCGAAACCAATGAAGATGAAGAAGATGGAGAAGTTGCCGAAACACCACAGCATGCTGTTGTGATCGAAAGCAAACCAGAAGAAGTCACCGATTCATTGGCTCAATTAAAATTGTCCGAAAGTGTTGAACAGACATCGAATGAAACAACCACTACTAATGAAGCGATCAGACGTGCTTCGGCTGCTGAAATTCAAGCAGCTAGACGTGAATCAGCCGCCGGTGAGGGTGTCCAACGTCCAATTCAACAAGCTGTATCAATCCCACAAACAGCCCCAATACAGCAAACCACTCCAATTCAACAAACAGCAATGATTCAACAAGCAACACCACCAGTTCAATCATCTGCACCGCCAAATTATATTCAGGCCGGACAACAGGCACCGCCAACCTATGTTCAACAACCGAAACCGGCCATTTATGCTCAACCAACACCGGTCGCATACCAACAACAATATGCACCAGCAGCGCATCAAATTCCGCAGGAAAATATTCGCAATCAATTGCAAGAAATTGTCTCGGATATCGATCGCGCTGTTGAAGAGCACAAACTTTTCAGCCAAACACCACAACAACCAGCGGCTCGATCATCAGTCACATCACAAAATTACACTACAACCGAAACATGGAAGCAAACATCAAGTGGTGGTGTATTCCAGAAGCCAAGCTACTTCTATCAGGTATGTGATCCGCAAACGCTTTTCAACAATCGGTTTTTATTTGTTCGCTTTTTGGGTGGTTTTGAACCAAATCTGTCATCGATCGCAATTAGAGTTTAAGCTTGTCAACAGACAACATTCCAAACATATATACATTCGCACACACACTTAAACACATGCTAAACGCAATAAAAGGTAAATTCAACATGCGAGGGAAGCGAAAAGAAGATCTCATCAACAAGTTGTCGTGAATGTATTGAAGGTTACGCAAAATAACAACAACAAAAAAAATTCATCATTTGATAGAAAACACCCATGAACCATTTCAGTTAAAAGAGTGTGAAATTAAAGAGAAAAAAAACGAAAAAAGAAACGTTGGTTTGCAATTTTTTTGTTCATGTCATTCAGCTCGCGATTTTCTTTTTGCTGTACATATTTTCGCCAAAGCTTCTATATTATATTGTAAATTAGTTATGTGTCTATATCATTGAATGTTTACATTTGTTTGTGAGATAGATAGAAAAAAAGCGACGAAGAAAAATTCCTTCACCGAGTTGGATGGGCCAACGTTTTATAGCCACAATATTTATTTATAAATCACTGCGCCAATGGACATGAACAAGCAAATAAAAAAAAAAAAAACAAAAAAAAAAAGTGTGAAAGGCAAACGACAGAAAAGCAAATAATCTACTATTTTTCATTCAAAATGAAATTGATTGATTAAAAGACTTTTCGGAACTTTGCTTGCATTTGTTGCAATTACTATTTGGCCAACAAACCGACACAATTAACCAATTAGCAAATTAGAAACAAATAAATGAACGTGTGAAATGCATTTGGTGCCAGAGAAAAAACCAAGCAAAAATCATAGCTCAAATGCAGTTGAATCAATAAATAAAGTAGTAAGCATAATTATCAAATATTTAAAATACAACGTGCAAATTCCTGTCTAAATGGAACGTCAAAGTCGAAACGGCGTTGTAATAATTTGTTTATTCATTTTTGACACAACAGAAGTTGCCAATAATCAACGGAAAATTTATGAACGGTCTGTTGAAACAATAAATGTTTCATCGGCTGTAGTACAATGCACGCGTGCAATTTTCCCATTTAGCAATCATCGTTTGCAAACGAATCTATTCGTTAAGCAAAATTTTGTTCGCATACTTTAAAGCGTTTGGGCAGCAATGCAGCAATTTTTAGATGAAATAAACAAACAAATCAAGCAACAGCTCAGCTAATCGAAGAACTGCATTTGCGCCCATGCCCAATTCCTCCTGTATGCGTGTAAATGTGTATGTATTTCTCTCGCTTGTTCATCTTGTTAACGATACGTTCTACTTACAATCTTTGCATATTTTTCACTGTTTAATTTTAGAATGGAATGTGTACGACCAATATCAATGTGTTGAAACTAAACATTGACGTTGTGTGCATTGTGTGTATATATCTTCCACGCCGTACACAAAATATCCAAATACATGTGACTTATGCATGCATAGATATCTATGCATATTACAGCTCGTATCGCCAAAACTATGTATATAGTCGTCGAGGCATCGTAATATTCGTTTCTTCCGATTTTCTTTTTCTTCTTTTTCTGAATCGGACACGAAAATTGAGAAAAAACAACACCAACAAAAATAAATAGAAAATGGTCAGCAACAACGGGAATAACAAAAACAATCCAACCAAATGAGCAACAACAATGACGACGACGACGACGACGACGTAAGAGAAAAAAAAAACATATTTGAGAAAAATAAAACATAAAATGCCCGTCGAAACGAAATTAAATGAGCTAAATTTTGATCGAAACCTCATTCGCAACGCGAGCGAGAGGAAAATAAAACACATATGCTCTAGCCAACACACATTACTGTCATTCTATATGAATACAAGAAAAAAAAAATGTGATAGAAACCTTATGCTCGACAAAAGCACGTCAAATTCTCAATAAAAAGAAAATCGGTAAAAAAAACCGTATGCAAAGCCGAGATGGATAGATTGGGAGTGAAGTGAGAATGAAAGTGTGAATCAAAAAGATTGGCCGAATATCATCATAATTTTGATTTTGGTTGGGGCGAGAAAATCCAAATCGCTCTTTTTCTCGAGCATTTTTTCGCATCTTTTTCTCTCTTTTTTTGATTCGATAGCGCACGGTTTTTCTCCTCTCATTTCATGTGAAAAAAAAATGCCTTTGGCGCGTACTTTTTTAACGAATCACATTCTGCAGAGCGTATAGTGCTCATTCGGGCTCTTTCATTTCAGCAGCTTTTCGTTTTACTGTATTTTTTTCGGTGCTCTTTTCTCATCAGAAGAGAAAACGGTGTAACAGTGTGGAAAAAAAATTTATGTGCGACGATTCGCGTTAATTTGATAAGGCCAACTCATCGCCTGCATGTGTCACCGTCACCGTCGTCATCATCATCAATCGTATTTTTTCTGTTTCTCCACTCGAGGATTATCGTCTTCTTCCATTGCGTTGTCCCGTTTATCATTCGTTTGATTCATTTGTGCAATTCTAGTCGCCGTTCAATTTTCTACACACAGAAAAAAGTTTCTTTTGTTTATTTCACGAAATTCGGTATCAAGTGAAAAAAATAAACGCTTCATTCGTGTGCTTTGAAAAGTATCTCTTGAGTTAATGAGAAAAAATAAGCGAAAACAACGTCAGCAAACAAACATATAAGTGCTATGGAATAAAAAAGTGACATCGAAAAGCAAATTACCATTTTTATGGTCGACAATTTAAAGAAACAAATGCGACAAGGCTTCTTTTTTAATTGCGAAATCTCATTTTATCGTTTGTCAACTAAAGAAAAAAAAATTGCCTACATATTTGTGCCAAATAATAAAAAAAAGTCCTCCTCTTCTGTGTGAACAAACAACAAAACACCAAGTAGGGAAGGATTATAAATGTCATTTATTAAATGATAGTAATTCCACGATAGATGATGTACTTGTGTACACACACACAGTCTTGTTTATATTTACTAAGAACGCTTCAAGCCTAGTTTCCAACAAAAACTCAGACGAAATATTTTAATCGTTGCATCATTCTTTGGAAAATATTTTCCATCTGTTCACATCGCCTTACTTGAACATTCATTTTTCGTATCATTTTTCATCAATTACTCATCTTGTTGTATGTAAGACGCGTGCATACACACATACATAAACACTTTGTCGATTTGAAACGATTGTGATTGAATTATTGAGAATGCAACGTTCGTTCAGTACACCGTCGCACAATCTGTGCCGACCATCCAATCGTAATGTAAATCAAGCGCCAATATTTCAACGTCGTCGTTCGAACAGCACCAGTAATTGTATCATCGAAAAGAAACGCGGTTTCAAGCCATCCGATCGATTTGATCCGGTAAAACGGGAATTTTTGGTGAAATTGGGACGGAAATTTTGGTGCCGACCGGTAAGCATCTCCACCAAACGAAAAACCAATTTCCACATCATGAAAATCAATCTTCGCATAATCACATTCTATACAGCATAGACTAATTTTTCATGAAATTTTTCAACGAATGAAGTAGAGATCGAGAGATATCTATTTTTAGATGCGACCATTAGCATTGTCGATGATAGGAAGCGAACGTATAATCATCGACCTGATGAACATAAATCAAATGTTGAATGTGCAACGAATGCCGATACCGTGTGGAAAAATTGGATTGGAAATTATTTGAACGTACATTTTGGTACACAATTACGTAATCGAAGAGAAAAACCAAAACACAAACAATATGTTATACAAATAGAATATGTGCAGCGTGTCAGTGGGCGCACGAAGAAAATTGAACATTTCAAATATAGAATAACCGTTGCAATCTATGATGTAATTATGCGATCCATTTAGTTTTGAAAGGAACATAACATTTCAATCAGTTTTCTTCATATTTGATGACCTTCTCGATGAATTTTTTTTTTTTCGAAAAGATAAAAGCACTTTCCTCAAATATTTGCCATCAAAGAAACACTATACACTCACAAAAAAAAATCACTCATATTCTTCAATATATATGATCAAGGGCATATCGGCAAATTGCATTGCCTTGAATTGCAAATAGCAAACTATTGTTTTGACAGCATGCCTGTCCAGACATGAGATTTCCGCAACCAAACATATTTCAATATCTCATTTCGATTTCTTTGTATGCTTTTTTAGATTTTCAAGCAAACACGAATCGGAATCATACTTTCAAGATCAAAGACAAAACACATTTGCCTTGCAAACCCAATGTCCAGATCGGATGATGGAAAGAGATCAAACGATTGCTAATTCGCGATGTTTCCGTACGATATATGAAAATGCTAAATTTAAAAATCCACTTTAGTTGAACAAAGAATACATACATATATACACACACACACGCGCGCGCACAATCCCATTAAATGACTGTCAAAAATGAATGGCAAACGAATTGAAAAAAAAATATGTGGTTCGTCATTTCAACGAATATTGAACACATTCAGAATGAAAAAAAATCAAAACATAAGAATGCATATTTAAGTAGCGAACACAGAACGAAAATGGGGGAAATTGGTTCAAACTACAATCAAATCGAAAATTATCGATATACCGATAATTGTTGTCATAATTGCAAAAGAAAAAAAAAAACAAACACACACACAAAATCATTTAGTCTAAATTGCGGTTTGCATCAATCACGTTTTGTAGGAAGATAATTCATCGACCACAACATCTTCTGCAAAACCAATCGATTTACAAAAAATCTTTACACCGGCCACTGATGCAGAAGTTATTGTCCCAAATAAAAACCGTAAGTATTCACTTTTTAACACATTTTCCGCGTTTTTTCTTCTTCATCGCATTGGCTTTTGGTCTTTTTCGTTTTGTGAGTTTAATCTATGGTTAAAGAGCCTCAATATCAGAGTGTTCACCATTTTTTGTTGTTATTATTATTAACTAAGGCTACCATACAATCAGTCCAATGTTGAACAAGCAAATTCAACTTTTCAAAAAAATAAAATTCATATACATTCATAAAAAAACACTAAATTGATTAAACAAATAAACAAACAAGATCGAATTAATTTTCCAGAAATATTTCGCGCACATGTTGTTCCTCATTTCAATTTCTATTCGCAATTTTACGCTACGCAGTAGAAATAGAAATACTAATGATGTTCAAAAATTATAGATTTTTTTTTTCAATTTTGAATATGATTCACAACGCCTCCTTAAGTTTTACAAATTCAAAAGATACCTATGTCTCTCTTCACGAACCACTTTTGAAAATAAAATGCCTTCTCAAATATAAAAAAAAAAACAAATCCAATTTTCGATTCAATTAAATTGGCCGAATTTCGGTGGCGAAATCCAAATCGAATTTTTAACAAAAAAAAAAAACAAAATCAAATTTAAATCTCATTCAAATAAAACTTCAATCTACATGATGATCGCATATGCACAGGAAAATTGTATGCATCGTCGGCATTCTTTACGCCTGGACTGCATCCAACGGTGGAAGATCAAGTGGAGCTGGCACGGCGCATTTCATCATCTCTCAGTGATGCCAACAATAAACTATCCAAAGGACAAACAATGTACGTCAACAGAAAGAAGCGATCGGTGAAGTGGGTACATGAAGGAGAAGGTATTTGTTTATCATTTGCAATAATGCACATAATCCAACATATTTCACATTGATATTTTGCACATATATACACACGCGCACAAACACTCACTCATTCGGAGCGTGCCGTATATTTTAGCAACATTGAAGGTAAATTCGAAAAAAAAAACAACAACAAAACGAAAACTCGGAATGAAATTTACGGTTTCTGGAGGCCGAGCCGGTGTTTTAAACAGAAACGAAAGAGTTTCAAACATTATGAACATTTCATTGATTAAAAAGTACGGCTCGTATGATGGTGAACTAATTAAACCAGTATACAGTCATTTAAACCAACTTGAAGTATTTAACAAAATAAAAAACACGAATAAGAGCGTTATTTCTGCGAAAATTTCATTCACTTCGATTTCTTGTTTTTCGCTTATCATCGTAATTGCTTTAAATTTTCAAGACATACGCATAACTTCACTTTGAACCAAAAAAAAAATCAATTTTCACTTTTATCTAGACCATCAAAAGTAATTTGGCTGCCAGCCAAAAATCAAAATCATTTTCGGTGCTTGCTTTCAAGATGATTACTAAATTAAATAGAGAAAATCAATTTAAAATATCATAGCGAATAATGAGCAATGCTTCAATCGACAACAACAAAACAAATATCATCATCATAACAATTGTTTTCAAAATTTAAAAATTAAAATTTCGCGTTGAAATTGGCCTGTGTGAATTAAATTTCTGCGCTTCGTGTGAATGAGCCTACGCACAATAAACATAAACACAAACATGCACACACACACACAACCACACATACACCCTCCTATTTCGTGCAACAATATTTAATTCAATTTTCATTCCACATTTCAATTGAAATCAAAACGGAAAATCGCACCAGGCAAAAACGAAAATGTGAACGGATATGGCGACTATCAAATGCCGTCAAACCAATACAGCGAAGAAAAATCGTATTCGACCCAACGATACGAAACGAAAATACCATTAAAATTGGTAATGGATCCGCGTGGCGTTGTGCAAGATATTCAATCTCAGGGCATCACATATGACCATAGCAGCGGTATGCTTTCGCCCGATAAATGTGCCGAACTAGTTAGTGCTTTGCACACAGACGCACCAAAAGGAAAAGGTAAATATATATTCATTTTTACCTCACATATTCACAAATAATGAGAATAAAATCTATTACAGGTGCTGAACTCTTTGCAAAGAGACGCAAGCGATCCGAAAAATGGATTGTCGACGAAACAACGCGATCGGCAAGTAATCCATCCGCTACTTCGTACTCAGCTGGACCAACACAAATCTATGACACCAATCAATATAACCAAACCAGCTACCAATCGGTTGATAATAAAGTAAGTTAAATGGAAATGCAGATGGAAACGGACACTTCAATGTTGCTCTCTCTATTTTTTCTCTTGCAGCAGACTAATTATCAACAAGCACCTTGGGAAACTCAACAACGACAAGATGATTATAATATTTACTCTTCTTCACCGAGCGCTTATAAACCATCATACCAACCATCGACACCAGCGACAGCACCACCATCATTGCCGTCTCAACAATATAAATTGCCTCAGGTGAGCATCAATTTGATAGAAGACAATGTCTCTCATCGTATATTGAAACATTATTACTCTTCTGTCATTCCAAATACAGCAACAAACATTGTTGAAGAGAACACCAAACAATCTACGTGATTTGGCGTACAAGCCAAGCATACCACAAGGATGGAATGCACCACCATCAAAACTACCAAACGGTAACCATTTCAGAATTTTTTTATTTTTTTTTTTCACTTTTTTATCACGAAATTAATTTGGTGGAAAAGAAATTGCGAATTTATTTTATGAAAATCAAACAGAAAAAAAACATATATTTATTTAAAAAAACAAAATAAGCACGTGTGATATAAAATTTGTGCACAATTCTGCTTGCCGAATAATATTTGGTTAATCGATTTACATCTTCATTTTGGTCACATATTTTCCATGCACACACACACATATGCGATTTAAAACAAACACTTTTTATATCTACATATAAAAACAATGGTCATTTCAAAGTGTTGACCAATCAAAATGACACAAAATTAGAAACAGACGAGACAGCATCAGATTTGATCTCAGCCATAAAGGAGTTTGAAGAAACAACGGCTAAAATAACAATGACACATCAAAGCCATGAGACGAAACAAAATAGTACGACGGTTAAAGAATCGACCGTATTATGTAGGGATTCCGATGAAAAAGGTCCAGTTGATTGCTTTAATCGTGCAAAAGAATCATTGAGACATGTAACACAGATTGAACATGATATAAATAATAATGAGCAAAATAGGATGGAAAGTGTAAACAATGTGGCCCATCAAATATTTGGTGAAAATGAATTGGACGAGTCGTATGTGAAAATTCCAGTACAGCAATTGATTAACACATTTGAAAAGCAAATGCGTTCAATAATCAAGCAAAAGGTCAATGAAAATATACAATTGAAAATGGATGGCACAACGAACAATTGCAAATTATCAACCACCTATATCAACAAGGATTACAATGGCATCGTCGGTGAAAAAGAAAATGAATTGAAAACCATAAATAATCAACAATTTTCAACAGCAACAACAGCCACACAAAATTCGACAATTGATTCGATTGTGCAACAGCAAACGTTTGATCGAAATGAGCATCTGGTATCACATTCGATAGACGAACAATATCAATGGTCAACGAAAAATGAGAGTAGCACATTCAGTAGCTCCGTAAAACAATCAATGTATGATGAAAAGAATACCGAATCGGCAATCAATCGACTCAATGGCACACAACCGGATGATAATTTCGATGGAGGCAAGACAAAAACAATCTATAATTTCTATATATTCCCGTATATTGCATCTTTTTTTATATATTGTTTATTGTTGATGTCAACACATTTAACTCTTGACTTACTATTTTGCTATCAAAACTCAATATGATTAATAAACATATGTTTTTGTTAACGTATTTAGCATACAAATACTACAAAAATAAATACACAAATCAAATATATGAACCTTCCCGTGTGAATGAAAGAGTCATCGTCCACGTCACAATACAGCTGACATTCAAACAAAACTGTTGAAAACCAACATGAAAATGCCCAAATATAAAGAAAAAAATATACTGCCCGTAACCCGCACACACGCACCAATGTATACAATTCACCCAGTGTTTGTCGATCTAAAAACAAAATAATGCACTATTTTTTGTAATCTGTTGGATGTTCAGCAATCTCTGATCCTTGTTCGAATATTAATAAAGAAAACAATTGAATTGTGTATTATATAACCTGTACATGTACTATGTGTCACGAAATATTTGGAATTTTGCATGAAACAACAACACATTATTTTAATGCACACACACAGCAAATTGATTGCAAAACATTTTTGTTTGTTTGAATTTTTATTTTTACTCTAGAAATGTTTACACCACCCGAAATCCCATTGAGCGGTTACACACCACCACGAACCGATGCATACTTACCAAAAACATCATCATCATCATATCCTCATCAATATGAGAATACCTATGCACCACCACCACCATCGTCAACTGACTTCTATCAACCACCAAATGCTGCATCGAATCTCCATCCAGCACCACCAAGTTTCCGGAAAATCGATCCAACACAGGTGTATGGTGCTCAATTTCCAGTGCAAAATTTCACACCAAAACCATTCACACCATCACCAATTGCACAGGAGAAATTGGCCATTTTCGAGCAACCACATCAATTGCAGCAACCTGTCATTCGACGTCCGTTGACGGTTCCAAATCAACGCGTGAAAAATGTCTCACCAATACCATTCGGTGGAGGCTCACAATACGATTCATATCAAAATGCACCATGGTACGTATCGATTTTGAATCGATTCAGTTTTCAGTTGCGTTCCACAAACTAATCTAATGTAAATCATTAATTATATCTTTAGGTCTGCTCCGCAATCAAATCGCTTGTCTGGTTGTTCGTTCACCTCGTCATCGCCGAACTACAATGCTGGCCCATGCAGTGTACCAATTGCAAGTCAGCCAAGCCAACGCGCTTCGGCATACGATTCGGCATCGCATCAAGAAAACTTCAATCGGGCAGCACGTGGATGGGGACAAAATAAAGGTTTCTATCAGCCAGTTTCATTTGCAAAGCCAATTGATCTTCCATACACCGATTTTTAAATTGATTGCAGCTTTCTCGCAAATGCTTGCAAAATTTTCTTTTCTTTCTTTTAAGTCGAATCAATTTTATTTTTTATTTCATTTTCCAACAATTCTTTGTTTAATTATTTAAAAAAAAAAAAAAGAGAAGAAAACAATTGTAAAATAAAAAAAATACGTACTTTACTGGATGACAACGATGATAATAATGGATATATATATGTGTGTGTGCAACACAGTACAATGGCAGCCTGTGTACTTTGACGCACATTCTAGAATTAAATAACAATTTTTAATCGCAGTGCTTTGAACAAATCACGAGTTGAAATTTGATGAACATGATTTTTAAAACAAAACAAAAAAAAAACAACTTTATTACTATTATTATTTTTGGGGAGTGTAAAATTGAGTTTTTATATATTGCTGGAATCAAATGTGTTTGAAAGCAGCTTTTGCATCTTATCACTATGTTTGATTTGGGCATATTGATGGATGTGTGTAATATTTATTGTTATTTTTTATCTGTTTCTCAGTTAAATAGATGTTTAAACAAATCAAATTAAAAAAAAAAATGATGTTTGAGTAAAAAATTTAATAAAGAGAATATAAACATTCTGTGACTTTCTTTCATTTCATTTTCGAATTTATTTTTTTCCAGGATTGATGACAATGATCCATTTTTTCTTAATTAATTTTCTTTCTATAAAATCTTAAGAATATTTTTTGAATACTTAACGTTAACGTCAATAAAGCATTGCTACACCCTCGAGTCGAATGTATAAAACATTTGAAAGGGAAAATTTGTTTGTTTCTCTCACTTTCAAATAGACGGAGCACTCAAAATCGATTGGAAAGAGAAAAATACAATTTATATTAAGCTTCTTTCCTTGCCATCTTTATTTATTACTTATTTTTTACAATAAATATTGTTTGGCCAATGCACGTAGAAATTTGATTTGTCGTGTTGAGGCAGCTTCTCGTTTTACTTCATCGTTATTGTTAGCATTCAATTCTAGTTGACCCAATGCAGCAATCTATTGCAGGAAAATGTATTGACATCAACATTTCGCACAAGAATTGAGTTTTTTGTTTATTTAATCAACTTACCGCCAGTTGTTTTCTCGCATGTTCTCCTCTTTTGGCTAAATAATTTACGATAAATTCTAATAATGTCGCATCCCAAATGCAATTATAGTACGAATCCATAGCATCTGAGAATACAATTGTTTTGTCCGATATGCTTTTGAATGTGGCTCGATCCGATAGTGTTTTGAATGCCAAACTATAATCAATTTCCTCGAGAAACTACGAATAACAAAGCAAACAACAGTTAATTAAATGAATAGAAAATACACAATCACTTTTTGTCCATTTTAAAATGCTTTTGTAAAGATTCCAGCCTTTCATATTACCTGACAGAGAACAGCTGCTTGCGTAAAGCATCCCAAATTCGAACAACATTTAATCATTCTTCGGATAATGTAATCATCTACATGTTGTTCTAAATTCACCGAAAAATATTCAGATCCTGTTAGTATTGCATTCACATACGATGACATTGCAGCTTCATAGTTATCATTACCTATTTTGAATAAAATAAAATGGCTTAATTATTGTGAATTTACAAAAATGTTTCAAATAAATGATTGGTGTAAAAATTGATTAAAATCACGTACGAAACTCAAGGTCGCCTTCAATTCGAAGCCATGGAACATATTGAGGATGACAATGAAGTGCTTGTTTCAATGTGATGTTGAGTAATTCTAATACGATGTCTATGTTATAGTTTATTGGACTGAAAAAAAAAAACTATTTTCAAAAAAAAAAAATCGATGAAATCAATGAAAAAAAAACATACTTTGTGACGCTTGTTGGCCATAGAATCATATGTTCTCCATTTATCTCTCGATTGGAATTGTCATCCAGAATGTTGTGCAGTCGAGAAAACAGTGACAGCATGATGGTAATGGCTAAAATGATATAAAATGTTCAATTAATGTGCAAAGAAACGTGCGAAATATTAAATTGCCCTACGCAATGGATCCCGTAGTTTTTGAATAAATGGCAGTAGATTTGTGTTGACAATAACCGCCGGTGAGTCCCTCATACCGTAGCCACTGTTATCATTGTTAAAATTATTACGATTTCGATTCGAAAATGGATTGACTTTTTCCCGTTCATTATTGTGACCATCAACATCGTCCACATCCATATTTCTTGATCCATTGCCGTTGCTATTGGTCGTATCATCTTGTGATCCACTTGCACCTTGTTCATCATACTGCATATTTACATCTTGATTCGTTGCATCATCCGTTTCTTTTCGATCCGCTCCATCTGCTGTATCATTAGAATCGTCAACTATATAGAATAAATGTCACATGTCGAAAATGTAAAATAAAATGGTTTCAATCATGAACTGTTGTGTTATCAACCGATCATCATCATCATCACCATCATCTTCATACCTGCGTCGATATTATGCTGCGGCGTTGATCGACCACGTCGATTATTGCCTGACGATGAATGACCGCCATTTGCAAACATTGGTGCTATCATGTCCCATGCATCGCGAAATACTTTCTTCGATGCAGTTGCTTTGTGCTGTTCAATTTCAATGACAATTGCAGCAATTGCCGAAAATAGTTCGGACGATGGAAATCGTCGATCGATTCGTAATAATTCATTGGCCTCATTTGAATTTAATAAAACAGCCGCACAAGATGGTAGAATTTCAATTCGTGGCGGTACATTTTCACCGTTGTTACTTTTCAATGCTTGTTTACATTTGACAATGATTGCATCGTGATCGGCCGGCTTTTTCGGCCAGTCTTGCAATTGTTGCGTTGCTTGCGTTAGCAAAATTTCATTGTCAATCAATTTATTCAGTCGATTTGTGCTTGTATTTGCATCGTGACGTTGAACCTCAGATTTTGCAGCGTTCAATAAATTCAATGCCACTTTGAAATCCTATATGGTGTTGAAAGCGATAGAAAAGTTTAATCAATCACTTTTTTTTATTTTAAAACTATATTCTGTACCTGTTTTGCTGCAAAATCTTTTGCCTTTGCAATGCAAATGTATGAGAAATCTTGTAGAAAACCACGTGGCATTGACATTAGCACCGATTTTATGCTGATTGGCATGATCCAGCTCGGATTTATGTGCCATGGTTCCATCGACAACCGTGGATCACTGGTCATTATTAAATTTGTACATTTTACAAGCAACACGCGCACAGCATTGGCCGTTGCACAATTGATCAATTGTCGCTTCAATGCTCCCAATTCCAACAAAGTTACTAAATCATTAGAGAATCGAATCAATAAAAAAAGTCTCCGAGAAAATTATCAGAAGAAAAATCATCTTACCTTTATCATCACTCAACTTCCAGTCGGGCATTGTGCATATTGGTGAAAATGAAATATTTTCCACCGATGAGCTCGTGTAGTGAATCTGTTTCGATCGTTTTATATTGTCCAATTCTTGGCGACTGAGTAAATTTGATTTTTCAATGATCTCCAAATCGCTGGCCTTCACATAGGTAGCATCGGCCGTCAAAAATGTATTGTAAAAATGTTCTTTCACAATTTTGTGATGTTCACTTTGTTTGGATTGCTTAAGAAATGTGATGGCCGTTTCCACCAGAATGCTCAGACCATTTTGCTTTTGATATTTCACAAGAAAATCGTGCAATGAAAAGAGATCATCAAAATCAATCATGGATCGTATGGCATTCAATGCGGCAATTTGTATGCATGAATCTCTGGGTATTTTTTGTGAATCATTTGCATTAATGCCTTCCATATCAAATTCCAAAATGCGACGATTTACCAATGGTATTTCCATTTTAACATTATCCAATTCGAAAATTGTTTGAATATCTTTGTATTTGTTCATTATCGAACCGTTCATGCGATACAACAGACCGACATTTTCATCTTCAAATAATCCGCATGCCATCAATCGACCATTTAGCTCATCATCGGTGAATGTACAAAATAGAAATTGTCCACCATCATCATTGTTGCATTCAATTTTCTTTTCTGCATATTCCTTTTTTAATTCGGCCAAATTATCACGGCATTCAATCGCTTTTTGTTTTGCCAAATCATACTTTTTATCATACAAATAAAATTCGCACAAATCGAATGCAATTTGTGCCCTTAGTTCGGCTTTCGAAATGATTATCGAATTTTCAAAATCTTGTTCCATTCGATCCGACACACTATTTGGATTAAGTGCAACAAATGAACCATAAATTAAATGTATAAACGGCTCATCATCTTGACAAATTTGATTGAGAAAATCGATACTGGTTTGGGTGAATGGTTCCAGCGATGACAAAAACATTTCATCACGGAAGGAATTTGCTTGCTCCTGATTGATCAACAATCTAAAAACAAGTAAAAGAAACGATATAAAAGTGTAATGAAAAATCGGACATAAACGTGACACATACAAATGATTGAATCCTTGACGAAAAACTCGCGGTGGAATCTCCTTGAGCACTTGTGCACGCAAAACCCATCGATGATACAATGTCAATGCAAAGTTAAATGCCTTTTTTGATCCTTCTGGTCCCAAATGACATTCATGCACCAATGATAATGGCAAATTCACCAATTTATCCGATGTTATCGAACACAAATCACTCAATAATTGCACTTGCTTTTGCAGCGATAAATTTCGTTCAAGCACTTGTAAATTCCATTTTAGATAAGATGCAACTTTTAAGCCAAGAATTTTCAATGCCAATTGTTTTCGACCAATTTTCAGGCCTTCATTGCGATTCATCGCTGATTCAATGTCGGGTGTTGTGGCTGTTGTCGTATTGTTTTGACTCTCCGGAGCCATTGACAGGAACTTTGAAATAAGTTCAATCGGCGTTGGACCTATAAAAATAGGAAAAAATCCATACATTTTTAACTGAATAACTGGCGATTCGAAAAACAATACAAAATCAGCACATACTAGCATTTTCCTTTTGCAGGTGTGTTGTCAATAACGATGGATTCAACAAAAATTCAAACCACAATATTGTTTCGGCTTCCAATGGCACCGACGTTGGTTTCAATGGGTCATCCATTTTAACAATTCACTTCGCTTACGATTCAATCACATTTGCCAATTGCGTCAATTAATTATTTATTGATTTTAGTTTGTGAAATAAATTGGGCGCCAGACTAAAACATCATTTTCATGCAATTGAAAGCAAAAAAAAGGTAAATATGCTTGTATTGACGTTTTGTGAGTAAAAGTGTACTCTGACGATTGAAATGTCAAAACGAGGTATTTTATGCCGGCAACTAATGTGACTTATACAGTCACTGCTCATGCAGAAATAAACGATTATTATATTTTGATCTGAAATTTATTGAAGTACCAAAATTGAGAAATTTTCTAAGAGAAATTTTGTGCGCATTTGATTTTTATGTATGGATTTTATAACTTTTTTTATTACAAAAAAAAAAAGAAGATTGGTTCTGGTTTTTTACAACATTTCCAAAAGATGGCGCTGTGAAGTATTTCATTTGAGTAAAATACAATAGAGATTACATATGGGTTGCTTAACAATCTTCTTCTTATTTCTCATTATTTTAATACTCAAAACATCGGCGATTGAGACAGTGATTCGTTCGGCTACGCACGCATCGTGGTCAAATTATCTGTTCTTCATTGATAAGCAGTGACAATAACCCATTTGATTGCATAAAATTCTTTTTGAATTGGATTAAACGGGGTAAGTGTGTATAATCGTGTATTTTCAAAAAATTTGTAATTTGTGTGCAGCACAAATATTGGGACTTTAATTCAGTGCAATTGAAAGTAGCGGTGTACTATGTGTTATAGCTGTCATTATCATATGTCTAAATTAGCTGTCACATGTACGTACATATACGGGCGCGCACACACAAACATGCAATCGACAGAACGTATTCTTATCCTGACGACCGAATCCAAATTCGAGACTCAATGAGCACGAGTTGGTAGGCTGGTCGGTAGATTGAAAGTATAAATGTGAGATTGTATGTGCGCTACTATAATTGGGAGCAATGTATTGAAGTTTGTAGAATACATTGACTAAACGGGTGAGATTGTGTGTGATCTATCTCGTGGTTGTCATGTAATAAAGGTTCATTTTTCATGGCAAAGAAATATACATGAATGTAGTATTTTTTCTTCTTCTTCTTTTTTCTTGTTGTTTCTTTTTTTCATTTGATAAAGAAGAGACAACACGGGAGACCATAGAATTAATTTCGGTGTGTGTGAGAGTAAAACCTCGTGTTTTAGGCATAATATGTGTGTATAATTTCGAATAGAAAAAAAATCCGTACGACAGAATAGGAAAAATAAGATTCAAATTTCAAGTGTGGATTTTTTTTTAAATAAATTTCCATTTTCTTAAATTTTCTAACAAAATCGATCCCGTCCATTCATCGTGAATGAAAATTTTGAATAATTTCATCATTTTAACTGGTACTTACAATCCCACTATCTGTCGGCTTAATTTGAAATGCGTTGAATAGTGTGAACATTGTTCGGTCTAGATAGATCTTTGTGACTTTTGGATTTTAGTTATATATTTTTTTTAATTTCTTTTTGTTCTCACTCAATCTCCTCTGTTAATCTCCATATCAAACAATTCAAAGCAAACACATTTGTATTTGTGGTCCATCTGATATAATTCGATAAATTGAACAGTGAATAAGAATTGTTCTCAATTAAATGTCATTTTATTTTTCTTCTTTATTCGTTTTCGTTTAGATTTTGATAAATTCACATAGTGCTGCTGCTGAGGCGAAAGTGTGTGCAGAGTATTACAGTCAAAGACAAGGATAACATAGAAATTCAGTTGATCGAAAATCGATCCAGGTCGTCACCTTTATCGAATCTATATAGCAAAAGTTCATTGGCAGTAAACTGCACATCATTATCACAATCATCACAGACATAAAAAATCAATCATGGGATCAGAAACACCATCAAATCCAACCGAAATTCATGCACCCAGCAATGGCAATGTGGATAAAATTCAAGGTATGTGCCTCGATTATAATGATAATGATATTGATAATAAATGGGAACGAGTGAGATTCAATTTACTTGCGATTGATTGTGTATGTATGTGAGAGTGTGTAAGAGTGTGTGTGTGTATGCATTTCAATCGATGTCAATCATTTAACTTGCGGCTACGGATCATCATCTCATCAACGATTCACTGACATCCGAAATGATTGCATCTATTTGTGTTGATTAAATGTGATGCGGCCTTTTTGCCATCGGTTTGAAATGACAAACGCTGAAAAAGGATGAACATAAAAACAAAGAATAAGAAAAAAATGTGTGTCCAGTGCTATTTCAAATGCAATGTTATTTCGAAATGCCAACTTTGACTGTCAGTCTGATGATAAGATCGATTCAACACCGAAGGCCAAAATGTATGTGACAGTGCTGGTACAGAACGAATTCACGTACACCAAAATGATGTGATTTCCGATTGTTTTTTGTTAGATTAAAAATGGAATTGTGTAATTATACGCATCTCGCGTGCTCATCCGTTGTTGATTTAGGTTCTCTACACATTTCAATTGTAGTGCGTGTCAGATATTTGTCAGTTAGGCATTTTGGTTATGGTTGCATTCATATAATCATATTATGTAACAGTCCAATCTGTATTGAGAATAGTTTTTCAATGTACTGTCGCTGCCGCGCTGCTGTGTGGCTCCGTTGCTTTTGCTGCTACTGCTGCTGTTGTTTTCTACTATATGTCTTTTTCGGTTTTTTTTCTTCTTCTTCTTCTACTTATCATCGTGCATTTAACAAACATTACATTCGAATTCTAAGTGTTTAACGCACCTCTACACACATTCTCGTCTATTCAGTTGACACATGAGGCGATAAGTGTTGTTGTTGAGAGAATTGACAGCAAAAGAGAACAAACGAAAAAGAATCACACACTCGATTTATTCCGAACGTATGTGAAAATATAAATTGCTTAAAAAAGCGTGAGGTAAAAAAAAATCGAAACGCACAAAGAAAATAAAAGACAGAGAAGAGAGAACGAAAAAGAAAAAGTCCTCATATGGTTAAAACAGCATCGCAATCATAGCGAGCACATAAAATTGTCACGGATAGTGTTCGGTATGCAATCGATCAAATGATCTACATGCGACATTGTGAACAGCTACCATTTTCCTCTGATAATGACCAAAAGTGCAGAGAAATGGATACATTGGAAATGACAAACACAAATAAACATGATCAACACTTTAACAAACAACATTCATTCACATTGACATGTTATATTGAATAGTGTAAGAGCATTTTCAATGCACGCACCAGCGACGACCATTCCATTCAATTTGTTTGTTTGTTTTTTCGTCTCTATTCATGGCAAATTGAACTGGCTCTCTGTGACAAACCAACCTTCAAATAACTCTTCGTCGAACACACCCAATAATTGTTTCGATGTGTTTATAATGTACTTACCATCAGTTCAACGTAATGTTTTTTTATAAATAGCAAACTGGCTTTGACTGCGTCAACGATCATTATGAAAATTGCCGGTTAATCAATACAGGCTCATCAGGTTGATTCTTTGAATTTAAACCGTAGAAAAAACCATTCAAAATGTATCGAAAGCAAAATGAATAATTTTTAAACTAAAAACATGAAAATGTGAAGTAATTATCGAATACGTGAGAAATGCACATTCACGTTGGATCCTTTATTGTTTCGTTACTTCTAATATCTTTGTTAAGATAAGATGTGTTGTATGATATGATCGTAGAATATAATTTGATCATCTATTTTTTCTTTGTAAAGCTACGCACAACCTAACAAATGGTGAACAAATTGATGCCACAAACGATGCTGATGTGGTTAATACGGAGGATGGTACCGCAGAAGATGGCGAATCGGGAATGTACGATGACACCAGTTTTAATATCAAAGTTGTATTGCCGGGCGTATCGGAACCGTTAGAAATTCCTGTTTCGGCCATGGAAATGGTGCAGGAAATTCATCAAATGCTTATGGATCGTGAAGATTCATGTCATCGTACATGTTTTTCATTGCAATTGGACGGTGTTACATTGGATAATTTTGCTGAATTGAAAAGCATCGAACACTTACAAGATGGTTCGATTTTAAAAGTGGTCGAAGAACCATATACAGTTCGCGAGGCTCGAATTCATTTGCGTCACGTTCGTGATTTGCTTAAAAGCTTAGATCCAACCGATGCATACAATGGCATGGAAAATGCATCACTGTCATTTATGAATATGTAAGTAATATCATGTCCTTCCTTATGTGAAACCTTATTCTGAAACAAACTCTTTCCATTTTTCCTCCTTGCATGCAATGCAGTATCACACAAGATGATGGCAATGAAACAAAAAAATTACGTGAAAAATTTGATTGTACACCTCCCGATTACATTTTGCCAGGTGCAAAAGAACGAAGTTTGACACCGTTAATGCCCGGAGCAAAAACTTCAAAAGGTCCACAAGCGCTTAAAGTGTTGACCACTTCATCATGGAATCCACCGCCTGGACCCCGTAAATTGCACGGCGATTTAATATATTTGTATGTGATTACAATGGAAGATAAACGTTTTCATATAACTGCATGTCCACGTGGTTTCTATATAAATAAAACAACGGAAGAAGTGTTTGATCCAAAACCAGATGTGCCTAATCATTTGTGCCATTCGTTGATCGATTTATTATCATACATTTCACCAATGTTTAAGCGAAATTTTGCAATAAATTTGAAGCGTCGTTCATTGCGTCATCCATTTGAACGTTTGGCCACATCATACCAAGTATATTCGTGGTGTGCACCAGTTTTGGAGCATACCATCGATGCCATTCGGGCCGAAGATACATTTTCCGCAAAATTAGGATATGAAGAGCATATTCCCGGTCAAACACGTGATTGGAACGAAGAACTGCAAACGACCAGGGAATTACCACGAAAAACATTGCAAGAGCGTTTATTGCGTGAACGTGCCATATTCAAGGTGCATAGCGATTTTGTTGGGGCAGCAACACGTGGCGCAATGGCTGTTATCGATGGCAATGTAATGGCCATAAATCCCGGCGAAGATGCAAAAATGCAAATGTTCATTTGGAATAATATTTTCTTTTCGTTGGGCTTTGATGTGCGAGAACATTACAAGCATCTTGGCGGTGATGCAGCCGCTTTCGTTGCACCTCGGAATGGTAAAATTGAAAAATCTTCTGAAAATATCAAAAAAAAAAATTAATAATAATAATTATTATTTTTAATCAATTTAGATTTGCACGGAGTTCGAGTTTATAATGCAGTTGATGTCGAAGGACTATACACATTGGGTACGGTTGTCGTTGATTATCGTGGTTATCGTATTACCGCTCAATCGATTATACCGGGTATTTTGGAGCGCGAACAAGAGCAATCAGTTGTCTATGGTTCAATTGATTTCGGTAAAACGGTTCTTAGCAATCCAAAATATTTACATATGTTAAACAAAGCAGCTACACATTTGAAAATTTTACCACATCATGTGCTGAACGAACAGGGTAAAGCGGTTGAATTGTGTTCATCCGTTGAATGCAAAGGCATCATTGGAAATGATAAACGTTACTATATTCTTGATTTGTTGCGAACTTTTCCGCCCGATGTAAATTTCTTGAAACATCCGGACGTTGAACTGAGTCCACGTCTTAAAGAAATGGGTTTCCCCATCGAACACAAGCACAAATTGAATTGTTTGCGACAAGAATTGTTGGATTCATTTGTTGAGGATCGTTACATTCGTTTCATTCGTAATGCAGCTTATAATTTACAAAAAATCTGTTCGGCTAAAAAACAAGGTGAAAATGAAATGAAAGACGATGCCACCGAAACGAAAACAGCGCCAGCCATCGAAGATAAACCAAATGAAGATGGTGAGGATAATGATACAAAAGAAAATGGTTCCTCTGAGAATAATAATAAATCAATAGTGAATGCCGAATTAGCCAAAAAGGTGATGTCATCGTTTACCGGTGATATAACAAGCAATGAAAAACAAGCGGCCGATTCAAAACGTATTGTACGTGAAGCATGCGCTAATATGGGTTCATTGAAAGAATCTGAATTTGACATTCGTTTCAATCCGGATGTTTTTTCACCAGTTCGTCTTACTGGCACACTTGACACCGAACCACCAACCGACAAAGAAGAGGCAGACAAATTGGCAACGCAAGCAACACCATTCAATACATTGAAACAACAACGAAAATTGGTGATTGAAGCTGCCGAATTTTTGGTAAACATTCAAATTCCAAGTTTCGTAAATGATTGCATGAATCATGCGTCCGCACCAATGGATGGCAGCACATTGGCCGAAGCAATGCATAGTCGTGGAATAAATATGCGGTATTTGGGTAAAGTTGCCGATCTTTTTGAAAAAATTCCTCAACTTGAATATTTGCATAGAATATCGGTTAATGAACTCATTCTGCGATCCACAAAGCACATCTTCCAAGTTTATATGCAAAACACCGATCTTATAAATATGGCATCGTCGATAAGTCATTTTCTTAACTGTTTCCTAACGTCAATGAATCATCCATTGAATCCAACACTTGGACAAGATGAATTATGCAAACAAAACAAACGTGGTAGTAAAAAACGCATCACAACATCAACAGCAACGACCAAAGTGACAAACGGAGGTGGACGTGTTGGTGTATTTGGAGGCGATCAAACCTTTGAATGGGTGTCGTTGACACAAAAAACATTGTGGCAACAAATAAAACGCGAATTAAAAACATATTTCGATTTTGATCTCGGCGTTGAGGCGTCCATTGATGCTATAGTTGAAACGTACAAACTACATAAATTGACGATTTTACGAGCATTTTGCTTAAAAGTAGGCATTCAAATTTTATTGCGTGAATACAATTTCGAATCGAAAAATAAGCCGACATTCAACGAAGATGACATTTTAAACATGTTCCCAATTGTTAAGCATATTAATCCACGTGCAACGGACGCATACAATTTCTATACAACGGGACAGTCAAAAATTCAACAGGGCAACTTCAAAGAGGGCTATGATTTAATCAGCGAATCATTGAATTTACTCAATAACGTTTATGGTGCGATGCATTCAGAGAATTCGCAATGTTTACGCATGTTGGCCCGTTTGTGTTATATAATGGGCGATTTAAAAGAAGCTGTCAACATCCAACAACGTGCTGTTCTAATGAGCGAACGCGTTAATGGTATTGATCATCCATACACAATCTCCGAATATGTAAGTAATTTTAGCTAATGAAATGTTACTGTATATATTCAGCTATCTTTTTCTTTTTTTCAATAATCACACGATGTTTTTTTTTCTTCTTCTTCTCGCATTTGATTCGTATATTTATTTGTGTCGCAAAATGTTAGGCACACATGGCACTCTATAGCTTTGCAAATGGACAAATAATACCGGCTTTACGACTTCTTTATCGCGCCCGTTACCTAGCTGTATTGATCCTCGGTGATGACCATCCTGATATGGCACAATTGGATGTAAGTGTATCATATATTTTTTTATCACCACTCAGCAATCAGAAACAACATTATAAATTCTTTACGTTTTGCGTAATTCATTATTTATACAAATGAAATCACGTTTTCTCTTTCTCTCTTCAACATACGATAAGAGAATATGAATATTATATATATATAACACGCACCTAATTAAAATCAGAAAAACAAAATGGCATTTCTTATCATATTGAGCGAGAGAGATGGGAAGTGAGGGAAATGGGAAAATATCAAAAGGTTGACCAAAACATCGTGAAGAGTCAATGTGCTTTACAAGTGAAGAGTCAATTTTTTCTACAATTTGTTTTCGTAGAAAAACATATTTCTTTTCTTTTCTGTAAATGAAATTCCGTTGTTTTGATCAAGCCAAACAATTTCAATAGAATAATAATAAATTTTGCTTTTTCCTCCTCCACAGAGTAATATTGCATTGTTCCTACATGCGACCGGCGAATTCCGACATTCCGTTCGTTTCCTTGAGCATGCACTTGCGCTAAACATAAAATATCATGGCGAGAAATCATTGAAAGTGGCCGTTAGCTATCATTTGGTTGCACGCACACAAAGTTGCATGGGTGATTTTCGTTCGGCATTGTGCAGTGAAAAAGAAACCTATGCCATTTACAAGCAATTGGTAAGCACTTTATTAAATTCTAGAGCCTTGACTTAAACAATTAACTTGACACTCCTATCCGTTTATGTTTTTATTTTCTTGATTATTTTTTCACAATGAAAAATTCAAGTTGGGTGAGAATCATGAAAAAACAAAGGAATCATCAGAATGTTTACGTCATTTGACTCAACAAGCGGTGGTGCTACAAAAGAAAATGAATGACATTTGTACAACTGGAAAGATAACCATTGATTTGCCACCAATTCACATACAGCCACCGTCAATGGATTCCGTTTTGGATATGTTGAACGCAATCAATGGTATCATTTTCGTACAAATAAGGTAAGAATCGAAAAATAAAAGCAAAAAAAAAAAACTCTTTCGAAACGTTCAATAATAATTTAAATTTTGAATTCAAAAAATTATTTGCAGTCAAAAGGATATTGCTAATATGAAAAATGAAATTGAAAAACGTCAAAGAGAGGAGGAAATAAATGCTAAAGCAAACCAAAGTAGTCAACAATCGTTAGAAGCAGAAGCAACACAAAATGGCTCCGACAACGGCGAGCCAACTCTTTCAAATGAAATAAATGGCGTAGATGCCAAACCAACCAAATTGGTTGCTTGTTAGATCCAATTTTTCTTTTTCTATTTCAAAGCAAACACACAAAAAACAGACATAAGAAACATAAGTCAAGTTAGTTTTTTTTTGACGTTTTCCGCCAAAACACAAACAGAAATGAGAGAAAAGAAGTAGTAGATGAGAACAAATTTTAGGTAAATATCCGGTCGTTTGCAAAATAAACAAAAAAAAAAAAAAAATTGTGCACATGACTACAATTACAGCATATCTGTATGGTGAAGATGTTAGAGAGAAGCAAATTATAAATGAATGAACACAATAGACGTTGATAAGTTTACGTTTCGATAATACGAATGCAAATCATAACATACACACATGAAATGGTAGCAAAATATTGTTGCGCATCAAAATTTAGACAAAATAGCAGCTGGTAGTTAAAGGCGATGGTTTATGGTTAAAGTTTATGCTATGGTTTCAAACAAGTAAATGATGTCTTAAGACGATTGATGCAACAAAACATCTGAAAATCATTGCCATAATTGTTTGTATCTTTTATAAATCGAATTTATTTTGTATCTTGAAATATATGATTTTCAGACGTTACGAGCACAAACGTCACAACAAGTCGGAACATCACGAAAAATCAATCAGTACATGAAATTTTTGTTATTCATTTTTCTTTAAAACGTTAAAACATTTTGTAGACGTTCATTTTTATGCAAGAAAAAAAAATGTATTCCAAAAAATAGAAAACATATGATTAATATGTTTAACCACACCAAAAACTCTGTTGCTCACAGTCAATTGTTATGAATTAAAGGATATTGAAATAAAAAACAACAAAAATCTCATTGTTTTGGCACTATTGAGATTCAAATTCTTGTAAAATGTCGGTCAATAGTAAAATATTTGCAAAAGAACAGAATCACGCTAACACTTTTCATTTATCATCTCAAAATGTGATTGTTAGTCACAATCTAAAATTACGATACCATTGACATAAAATATGAAAGCATCAAACTCTATTGTTACCTTATTCTTGCAATCAATATATGCAGACACCCACACATAATATACCATTAAAAAATAAGCTAAACGAATAGAATTAAACAAGGGACAGAGATGAAGAAGATAAACAAACATTTGATGAAAATATAGAACAAAGATAAACCAAATTGTCCGTTAGTCATTATCTATCGGACATTGAACATAATAAATATCTGTAGTTGATGAGCCTAAACACAGTAGTTCCATAACGAACAAATTTCGGAACGATAAATATTTTAAGCTGCCTTCACCTTGTAAAACAACAAGTAATATCAAACGTGTAAAACCTTTCAATCGTGAAATGTTGACTTTGATAAAATCCACCTATTTTTGCCGTGCAAAATTGTTGAAAATCATCGTTAATGGAGATGAATTACGTTCAGCTACCATACGAACTCACATTGGAAGGTTTAACTGAGATTTTATTTCAATTAACCATAATTTGTAAAATCCATTCATTGAATGTTAAGAAATGGTTTATATTTTAACTATTACACGGCGCTAAAATCGCATTTTCGCAAAAAACTACCTATTATTTCTTATCAAATTTTCATTTCTTTCTACCTCCTTTCTGAAACCTAACCGTACTCAAAACAAATTACTCGTTCATTGTACAAATTGTGGGGGGAGTGGCGGAGATGGATGAAATTCTTCTAATTTTTGTTCGTAAATAATTTTTGCTTTGTTTGAATCGGAGGAAATTCAGTTGAAACGATGAATTGATAATATTTGATATGCAACGAAATCATGTTCGATATCATTTTTGAATGGTGCTCAAAATTCTCTTTCTTACGCTTGCAAAGCAGAAATGGCTTTTTTTCGTTTTAGCACAAAGACAAAACATCGGATATACATACATACAAAATTTGTGAGTGAAAAAGAAAAAAAAATTGGGAAAATCAAGCTGTTTAGGTGCACAGAAAACTGAACAAAAAATATATTAGAAATCGATCGAAGATTTATAAAAAAAAAAAAAACAAATAAATTTGTTTTGGGCTAAGAATTGTAGTCTGACGATAGTAGAAATTTCCGTTGTAGTGTTAGATGTTAATGAAATAATAAAAAATGAATTATTATGAAATGAATAAAAATAAAATCGATGTTTTTAATTTGGTCTTGTTTTGTATAAAATTTAAGAAATTTATTGGAAAACAGTCGTCATTTTTTTCATTTACGTACGACATAAGCTGTAGCTGAAAAAAAAATCTCTTGACAAAATTGCAAAATGTGCACAAATTGTAATTTTCATATAACTGGCAGTCACGTAGTCAACAAACTGATCACTTAGTGACAAAGAATTAACAAGTTGAGAGATAAATTTGATTGACTGAATCATCAATAAGGCAGAATAGTGTGATCCTGGTCATACTTTGTAAACGCGCGCTTTATAGCTTGTATACAACAAATCGATGATGAAACCGGGTTCTTATCATCACTTCCATCGGATCATTTCACAAATAATAAATCTCTTGCATTCATTTTCCAAAGGATCCGTCACAAATCGCATAGTGAAATTCTACAATCAGCATTTATTTTTTGTATAGAAAAAAATCAAAACATTCAGCAAATTGACTTGAATTTAAAGACCAACACGTAAAAAATCTTCAAATAATCGCTGAAATATTGTTTTTTTTTATTCGTACTTTTTCAATTTTCCTAATTAAGAAATTCCATCATTGTAACGAAATTTAATTACCAAAAAAAGGAAGAATATATATGGAATGCACTTGAATCTATCTTTTTGTGTGTATGAACGTTTGCAAGCTAGTGTCAACTTTCGCTTGGTCTTGAATCGAGAACAACTCGATTTCAATTATCACAACAAGTCGCCTTATGAAAAGCCAACAGATCACCAGGTCATTTTGGATGTGATAATCAAAAGTAAATGAATGCTTGTCTTCTCTCAGTCTCGGTCAATTTGGTCTCGCATTGAATTGCGATTTAAAAAAAAAAAAAGAGAACACGATGTTTGTTGGAATTTTTCCAGTCGAGTGTGATATTGATTCGCAATGTGGCTGATCGTAACAAGCGCACACACCGTATCAAAACTCATTACTTCTGTTCCGTTGGCAGTTTTTCGTGTAGGATCAAAAGGGAAATTTGTCGAAAATATAACGTGTTCATTGCGTTGTTGTGTCTGTTGTTTCCATCTGCCTATATACTGGATGGCATAACAATAGACGAGAAAAATATTTACTCACATTAATAATGGACTTTGACAATTAAATACAAATATCACAATCAATGTGCTAAATATATTATACCCCCCTTTAAGAATATATGCTTAGCTACCACAGATTTGGATGCTTTATTATTTCTCTTTATCATTCTCTCTCTCTCTCTCTCTCTCTCTCTTCCTTTCTACATTTGTAATCGGATTAGAGTTTTGCCATCAGAGGAACCGAATGAAAAAAAAAATGTGTATGCCACAATACGTACACGTCGATTTTCCCAAAGATAATTTTCATCGTAAGCGAAAACGTATATCATTACGAACGGAAAGAATGTCCGCAAGGCACAAGCAACGAATCCCATCGAATACAAATCAAATGCGATGTCGCGCACACGCATATATGTAGTGTGGATGTAACGCATACGCGACTTATAATAAAATCATATGGTCGGTCGGTATACTTAAACAGTCGACGACAAAGTATCATCACAGTCACAAGCAATTTCACAAAGTGATTTTCAAGCAGACGACAAGTCCTATTTTTACATTTCAATCTTAATTATTGTGATTGAAATAAATAAAAGTGTGAACGAGAAAAAGTGTTTGACACTTTGAATTGAATCCAATAAATTATTTTATTGTCAGCGGTGTTTGCGAAGCTGCGACTACGATAGAGCAATGCAACAATTATCACGAGCTGAAATTAATTCAACGGCACTCGGCAGCATTTGTCCGTGATTTATTTCCTTGTTTTATTGAAAGGAAAATCGAATTCTATTTGAAAAGTAAAAGTTAAAAAGACACATTCACATTTTTTTTTTTTTTTTTTTATTTAAAAAAAACTTTTTTATCAAACCAAAACAAAACAAATTCGATCGCTTAATTAGATAAACAGTTGAGATTGATTTGCCGATTTTTTAAATTAACGTGAATTGAATTGAAGTAATGCCAAAAAAGTGTAGCAAAGATACCGAGGGTATTCGTTACCGCACGAATGGTTTACATCAAACGTGGAAGTGGTTGCATCAAACAATTGCATTGCACGAATACCTGATTTCGATGTCAACATCTGACAGAGACATTGTCTGTATGCATGCTGGTACACATTGAGAATTGTGAAGAGCACACGAAAACACTTAGAATCAACCTCAAATCGTATTCGAATTTAATTCCACGGTGTATATTAAAACTTTTTAATAACTCCAATAATTTGAGTGCAAAGAAAAGGAACATAAACATTTTTTTTTATTGAGTGCGATCGGTGTTTGCATACTTCTAGTCGTTGAAAAAACAGCAGTTTACTCATTTTTATTAAGACTTTTGACTGATTACCAAAGATTTGGACAATTCATTTGACCGAAATTAAAAAAAAAACAAGACTTTTAAGTAAAAAAAAATTTCTATGAAAAATTTCACGTATTGAAAGTTAAGACAATTGAATATGAGATATTAAATTGTGTTTGATTAAGCAATGCTATAACGTTTTACTGCCCTGCGCTGCATTAAAATATTCATCAACATCGAAATATTAAAAAAATAAGGTGAAATTGATACGTGGATGAAATAAAGTTTTTTATTGTTTTGGTATTGATCGCACCTTGCTTCATAGTTCACATTGCGTAACCATAACAAAGAAATATAAAAAAAATTCGACAGTCTCGTAAAGTCGCTTATTGAAATACATTTTCAATTAAATAACGCATCCGTACGCGGCGATCTGATCGTTTGAAGGAAAAAAAAACGAAAACACGCGCAATTCGACGGGATCAAAGTACATAATCAAGGAGCGAACAAACAAGAAACGAGAACGACGACGACTCCATACACAGCATTTGTTTAACGTTTCATCAATAAATACGCTGTACACGAGGTCGGTGCGTTTTTATCGCTTTTCTAAACAACGGAAAACGAACGAACAAAAAAAAACCATATCGAAAATCTACGAATAACTAAGATTGAAAGTAGACGCACATATATACAAAAATGGCATCGACATTGTTCGTGAACTGCGGTACAAAAGTCCGTTCGGTTATTGGCCACCTATCGCCATTGTCTCAACAAATGAATGCTTCTAGAATATTTCAAGCGAATTATCAACGCATCAAGAAAACGAATGTTGCACATAAATACTCGACCACCACAACATTATCATCGAATGACAATAATAATTCGACCGCGACTGTGAATGGTAAAGGGAATGAAACAAACCAAAAATCAAAATCAAAATCATCGGCCATCAAATCAATTCCGGATAGTGAAATCAAAAAATCCGTTTTCATTTCGCAATCGAATGATATTTTCACAAATTTAGCACTTGAAGATTGGTTCTATCGTAATTTTGATTTAACAAATCATCATGTTTTAATGCTTTGCTCGAACGATCCGTGTGTTGTTATTGGCCGACATCAGAATCCATTCAATGAGACAAATGTATCGAATATACAAAAGGCGGGCATTGCATTGGCACGCCGAAATAGTGGCGGCGGTACTGTATATCATGATGGGGGCAATTTGAACATGACTTTCTTTACGCCACGCGAACGATACAATCGCACATACAATTTGAATATTATAACGCGTGCATTGTTTCGGGAATGGGGCATCAAAGCTGATATATCAACACGCGACGATATTGTAATCAACGACAAAAAGGTAAACACAAAAATATCTACGCAATAGAATAAATGCTCATGTTTTGTTGGTTAGAACATTCTGATCAGTCAAGTACATCGTGAACAGCATATGTTTCGTTTCATGATACTACGATATTCGTAGAGTGAATGCTCGTTACGCATATATTCTATGTGTATACGTACATAAGCAACTTCCCCTAAATTTTGAAAATCCATCGGGTTTTCGTCATTTTTAAAACTTCTTTTCAATAGCTGGTTTTGTAACGAAACCTGGAAATATAAGTATACGGTTGCTTTGTATTATTACCCACTGCGACACATTCGCTATATATTCAATATGTTTGGTAAATGTATATCGGGTTATACATGGTAATATGATGAGCTATATGAAGCTGTATATTTCATCTAATACAGCACTATTTCATCATTGTCATGCCATGGAATTTTAGCGAAACAAAAAAAAAATCAAATCAAACCTCTTTGATTTGATTGTGATTTTATTTGTGCATTTCTCAAATGAACAAAAAAATAAATGAAGCAAAACACATGCTTAAAATAATTTGATTGACGTACTAACAATATAAAAATCATGCGATCAATCTACATCTCGTGCAATGCTGACTTTTCACACGCACACATATATTTACATTTTTTTTTCTTCGATACTTGCATTGTGTGAAGTCAATGTACGCACATTGTAATTAAAATATCTCCGAGCATAGTAAAAACATTTTTTAGTGGCATCTATCTTTCATTTCCTTGTGATGATTATTTGTATTTTTAATTGGTCTCTCGTCTGACATTAATTATTGTGTTTTTCTTGGTACAGATATCTGGAACGGCTGCAAAATTGGGACAACCAAATTCTTATCATCACTGTTCGTTGCTTGTCGACAGCAATAAAAATCACATCCGAGATGCTCTTGCTAAGGATGAGGCAAGTAAAAGTAACGCTTTATTCAGAAGATCATAATTTAATAATTAATATTTTCGACAGGCTGATATTGTGACAAAAGCAACACCATCCGTACGATCACCAGTTAAGAATTTAGTCGATGTTAATCGTCACGTGAATTTTCCGCAGCTTCTGTCTGCTATTGGGTAAGAAAAACGTTGTCTTTGTTTTTTTCTTCAATTTTTCGAGATTTTTTTTTAAATTTTTTTTTTGTTCTCAACGAATAGATATGAATTTCTTCGAACATCTGCAACGGAATTGCATGATGGTGGACGACATTTGATGATGAAACAACGTGGATTCCAATTGATCAATCCAACTGAAAAATGGTTTCCCGGCTTGATGGAAATTCGCGACAGTTTTATGAGCTGGGATTGGTGCTATGGAAAAACGCCAAAGTTCACCGTTCAAAAGGATCTACAATTGAAATCGGACGAAAAAGATCACAACGTTCAATTGAGTGTTTCCGTTAATGCGGTTAGTTAAATTGATCAATGCATTGTAAACAAATACTAATCATTTATATTTTTATTTGTGGCGACAGGGACTCATTGAAGACATTACGTTGAATGTACCGAACTATGATTCGATTCCGGTCGTTACGACGCTCAAGGGAACACCATATTCGGAAGAGCATCTAAACAACATTGTTATGGCATTGAAAGGTGTCAGCAGTGATAATGTTGAACACGCCATGAACCACTCCCTTTAAAATCAAGACATTTTACTTGCAATTATATTTTACACGTATCAATTCTAAACACTACACTAAATAAAACTCTCATTTTTATCACACTATGTATAATATATTATATACAATTATCAATTTTATATATTAGTTTTAGTAACATTTTATTGAATTTTTGTTTGTTTGATTTTTACAATATGATTTTTATACTTGGAAATTCAATGGTTAATAAAACTTTAAAAGTAAAATGGACAATTCAATCACTTTCATTTCAATCTAATATGATTTCTTTTTTTTAAATAAACATTTTTCTTATATTTAATCTAGTTTTGACAAGATGCATGTTTTTTTTTATTCTTTCTCTGGACCACCAATTTACATAAGCTATTTAATAAATTTGTAATCGAAACTGTTCAGGAAATATTTAAAATCGAAACTAATTGAACTCACTAGATAAATGAACGTTACTGTATTTTTTCCACAAGCAAAAAAATAATGATGAGAAAAAAAGGTATGTATATGACCAAAAAAGGTAACACTTGGAAAATATAAGAAAGTTTTTCTTATTGATTTGTACTTAACATTTTAGCTTAGATATTTATAAATAGATAAAGTGTTACAAAACCGAAAAATAGTTAACTCAGAATTATAAAATTGGTAAGTGGATGCTCTTGTAAAACAAATCAATTGATTTTAATGAATTTTCATGAGAATTATCAATACTGTAAAATAGTTTAAATGAATTCAAAAAAAAAAAAAAAACTCGAAATATACAAAGAAATTTACTCTTTATTCAATTGGCTGTCGAATTTTTTTGGTGTCTTTTTAAATTGTTTATAATTAGATTTGATATAATACCATGAATAAAACTCGAAATTGTTTATTTAAAAATGATGAAAAGTGATGACATCAAGAACTAATATCATCATATTTTACGAGACGTAGCTATCAATTTAAAAGGTTCGACATCTCCAGTCGGCTATTGATGGAGTTTATGTTTTGTTTGGCGCATTGCATGCACATTTTTGAGGAGATTTTTTTTTTATTTTTATCATAAGAATGGATGGACTTGATACTTTTTTTTATTGTCAATTCGATACGATACCTTTTTCATTTAAGTTTTTCGTTTGTCACCTGCTATATTAAAAAAAAAACAGTTTCAATTGGAATAAAACACCATTGGTTTGAGTTTAAATTACACCATTTCTTTTATTTATCAAACATACTTTCATATATATCAAATGCTCTTCTAGCAAAGTGTAAATTCGACGTTTAAAACAACTGGGATTGCTTGCTTTATTTGGCATTTCAATTAATGTGATGTAACTATTTTCTTTGAAATTATGGAATTAGTAATAAATAGAAAATAAAATAAGATTTAAGTCATGTAACAGATGTCTTCAGGAAATCAACAAAAAAAACCAACAATTGAAATGTCAGTAGTTTTCATCAGAGTAGATGAAAAAAAAAACAAATTAAAATGATGTGACTTAGAAAAAAAATATAAAAAAAATAGAAAAATTTCAGAAAAGTGTTTAGCGTAGAGACTGAATCGTTAAAATTTAAAAAAATGGAAAAAACAGAAAAAAACAAATTCAATGACTCTATGTTGAATTCGGCATGGATGAAAACTGAAAATTTTTATACTCTATTATTTAAAAGATGTGGTTTTTAACGGAGATCAGATGGCATCCATCATGATTATACCTTTTTCCCACCAATACATGTATAAATTATGTACAAACACAAACTATGATTCAGTCCGTTTTGGCGGTGAATAAACAATATTATTATTATTATTATTATTATATATGAGTCAATGTTGACATTTCAAAAGTGTGTCTGTTATTGTTACCAACAATGACAATTATTCATGACACACGGGTAGATTTTCTATCATATACAGCCAATACAGCATAAGGAATTCTCATATCAAGGTTCAATAAATATACCATATAAAGAGGCTTTAATGCAACGATGCATGCTTTGTTATGATGCAACTATTTAAAACTCAACTCAAACATATGCAATTCAATCGTCGATTACGGGAAAATCAATGAAACGATTGTTTCAGTAAATTAAAAAAAAAGCAATTTAGTTCGATGTAATAAAATAACTTTTGTGTGGTTAAATAACCGTAGCACGTTCGGCTGGAAATATGCAGAGTCGGATCTTATGACACAACTGCATGGTATCAGAACAGAGAAGTAAATCGGCAGGCAATATGTAGAGTCTGATTAATGACACAACCGACATGGAGAATCATGATTTAATGTAGAAAATCATTTGAATTGGCAGGCAATGAACAGCTCCGGAACTCACCATCAGATTTGGGTAAACACGAAGCAGAAAAGTAAGAAGAAAATTGTGACGCTGAATAGCCTCGTCCACTAGCATATATACATTTATTGAAGAGACCTATTTTGACAAATACCAACGAGTCAAAGGTATTCTTGGAGACGGTGATGAGACGAAACGCTAGAGAAATGTTCCAAGAGAAAAAACTTCAAACCAACAATAGTAAGACGTACTCGCTTATGTACTCAAACCATCGATATTCCATTCCAGCATTTATCGGTACGTCAATTAAATTTAAAATTCGGTTGATATGTGCGGGTTTTTCCGATTTGAATAAAAGATATTGTTCGATTTGAGAATGGGCTTCAATTACGGTTTGTTTGAAAATTGCTTCAGTCTCATTCTAGCGTTTGCAAAAAAAATTGACAGTAATAATACGATCCACGACTGTAACTTACGCCAATTTCCAAGATACCGCGAACGGTTTATTCTTTAAAAAGAATGTGTTTAAAATAGCGTACAGCACGTGAGAGAACAATAAACATTGTTCAAAACAATTTACACAAAACGGTGTCCGCAAAGAACAGTCAAGACTTCTATGCATTTTCCAGAATTAATTCTCTGGAATTGCTAGTTATCTTGGTTCTTTTTCTTTATATTGCTATAGTTATACGGATATACCGTATCCGAAGCATGAAACTTAACTCAGAAACCAAGAAAACCTTGTTTCCATGTTTTGTTTATTAAATATATTATGAATCAATTGGAAATGGAAAAAGAAGCTACGCAGTACTCAATACCTAAAGTACGGTTCGAATATGATCTCCGATTTAACAACTTTAAATATGATCGCAAAGAACGCTTTCTCAAGTATTGCACGAATATGAATTATTTAGATGAAGTCTAAATTGACCAAATGGCCACAAGTGACCAAAATAAATGAAGAAGGCAAGAACGCTTTTTCAAGTATTATTTAAATAAAGAATTTTCGAATAAGGTTTGAATATTAACAACGAATTTCGTATTGAACAACTATCCAACTAAGAACGCTTTCTCAAGTATTGCACGAATATGAATTATTTAGATTAAAAAATTCATCAAATATCAAGTGAGCATTAAAAAAAAGAGATACCGAAATGAATATTGATTGCATATTTTGTCCGATAACTGGGACTTAACTTGCGTCATTTTAAATTGACTAAATGGCGTGTTCGGATATCTGAAAATAATAGAAACCCACTTGAATATTTTCCAGGCTGGGACTTAAAGGAACTGACAGATTGACTATTGGATTTGGGACTGAATACCGGATTTTAAGCCATTTAAACCCAAATTTGGCATATTTATCAATAAAATGGGACTTAAGTTGTATCATTTTTAATATAAATTAGCTCAAAGAATTAGACTGGATCCATTTGGAATCAATGTTGGAAACGACTATAACTTAAGTCCATTAATTGAGAATTAAAATCGAGTTCCTTAGTCGATTGAAACCACCGCTTCATATTTTGCAGCAAAATTATCAGGCACAATGAAATCGTGTTTTCGGTAGTCTCCAGTAACATATGTACAGATGAATAAGTCCAGCGAATGCGATTGCTGAAATTATATTGGTTTAGTGGATCGTAACAAATGAGTGAAAATGAAACGTCTCAATGACATGCTCACTGAAATTAAATGAACGCTTTCTCAAGTATTGCACGAATATGAGTTGTTCAGCGCTTCACAAAACTCGATATGATAAAACAAAAAGTAGACTCTAAAGCAAAGACAACGATAAGGGCTTAATCGTTGCTTAGAACAAAATAAATGCCAGAAACAATTTAAGGAATATTTAAAATTAATATCTCAAGCGACAAATGAAAACCCACTTGAATCAAGAATTTGTCTTATTCGTACATTTAAAATTTCAAGAAGCTTTTTATGCGGGAAAAATTTGCTCCCGATTAGTATTCGTTTATAGAATTTGAACATAACGTTATGTAACAGCCAGCGAGTATCACGCAAAGCTTGTGTATTTTTTTTAAATTTAAACTATTGGCTAGTTTTTTTTTTACTTATTTTAAAGACTCGGAGAATTTAGACCATGCGGATATATTTATGTAATGGATGTTTTCAAATATATACAGAAGAGCTCAATTTAATATTGATTCGTTCATTTATTGGGTGTGCACAACAATATGGACAAAATTATTGAAGATGGACGATAAATTTGTAGCGATTACCATTCAACAATTTGTTGAAAGTACACTCGTGTTAATGTCAATTACTAAACATTCACAGAGTATTCACAATCCAAAATTAATGTATGAAATTCATTGCCTGCAAAATTCGGTTTCAGTATACCCTCTAATTGCTTGCTTTGTTTTGTTGATTTATACCAATTGGATGATACCGAATTGCCGTAAGAGTAGTAGTGGTGTTGCATAACCATCGAATCCATTTGAATATGGATTCTCTTGATTATTGAAAAGTTCAACTTCCTAATCGCTGAAAAAGCTGAATTCCTTCGGAAAAGCCTTGATTAGATACTTGGATGATACCGAATTGCCGTAAGAGTTATAGTGGTATGGTATAATAATCGAATCCATTTGAATATCGATTGCCTTGATTATTGAAAAGTTCAACTTCCTAATCGCTGAAAAAGCTGAATTCCTTCGGAAAAGCCTTGATTAGATACAATTAGATATAACTTATCATCCCACTTATTGTGAGAGTTGTTATTGTATGGTACAACAAACAAATTCAGTTGAACAGGAATTAATCGACAATTGCTTGCTTTGATTTCATCACATGATTGATTAAGCCAAAAAGACCGACATTTGAATACAAGAAATGTTATTGTGCGGAAATGACTCAGATGCATCAATTAGTTTGGGCAATTCCGTGCCGAAAATATATGAATGGATTGGGTCGTGGTTGAAACTCTTGATGATACACTTCAGACACACTTTCTCTCCAAAGATCTTGAAAAACGTCATGAAAAAAGAGATGTAAGAAATGTGTATTTAAACTCAAAAATTATCTTGGTTTTGTTGCACGCCGTCTATCTGCACATCGACGTCGTTTTGTACGGTTTATTGAACTCAAAAAGAGTTGCGTCATTATTCTTTTGGTCGATAAACGGATGTGAACATTGTGCATACAGTTGCATCTGAAAAGAGAAAATATAAAAAATCATGAGTTGAAAAAATAAAATAAAATGTGTGTTCGAAGAAACCAAATTCAATTTATGAAAAAAAAAAATCAATAAATTTTTTAATAAATGCCTGTTTAACGTACCAATTGCGTGCTTTTTTTTGTTTCAATGCTGATTAGTGAGTTGCATGTGTGCTGGTTTCCATATGTTTCCACAACAATGTTTTTTTTCTTATCTACTTTAACATTTGTTTGCTTTAAGCCATATCACATTTATTCTTCGCAGATGATGCCGCCATCTTTCAAAATACAAAAAAAAAAGATAAGACACAATCAATATTTGAAAATCAATCGGTATATATCACCTTACAGTACTTTAAACACAAAACATAAGACGAAACAAAAACTTATTACACAAGAAACTAACCGTTTATTCGACGTTATGATTGCACGCGGCTGGCTTCCATATTGGATCCAAACCGTTAACAGTGGTCGGCGACCACGTTTCTCGACGATGTGCAAGCGTGCATCTGCTTGAATTGTCTCTTATGTGCGCATCAAACTGATGACGATGGTAAAGAACAGTTATGTTTGCGTCCAAAACCAATTGCTTGGCAACCGCTATCTGTAAAACAAATGAAACACACTTTATTATAATTTCATATTATAAAAAAATACATTCGAATTATTCAAAATATAAAGATTAAAATAGGCAAAATTACATGTCACACCAAAACTCTAAAACTCAATTGTTCATTAAAAAAAGACACTCGATTGTACTTTGAAATGTAAGTGCTAAATGGATTTGTGAGCAAACCAGTTTTTCGCTAGTTTTGCCTTCGTGTGCATAAGAACCCAACCACACCAAATGATACTTATACTTATCTATCGAAACGGTTTTTGTGACTGTGCCTTTACATATGTATATTGGCGCTATTGAAAAAAAAGCAACAATTGTAAAATCGTTAACGAAGAACTAATATTTGGTACCAGCTTTTACCATGGTATACATTTACGACGAAATGCGTCGTACATACGTTATTATTCTATAAAAAACCATGTGACGATCCAATCTGGATGTATTTTGTATTGGCATAAAAAATAATGTGACCGTTGAGGTCGTTTGAAAAGAGACAATGAAAAAATAAAAAAACAGTATCGCTAACCTAATGAAGCAAAACTCATACACACAACTTCCGATTTTTCTCTTATTTCTCTTTTTGTCGCTGTTCTTAGTTCAATCGTTTTATATGAGATACAGTAAAACTATTCATACATATATGTATGGATAAAGCGAACAAACCACAACTATAAATTATATATCCAATTTTATTCATATATAGAGGCAAAAACGGTGTGTGCAACGAGAATAAAATATCAAATTGGCTCTATATTTGAGTCATTATTATTGAATAAAGTGTCGCAAGAGACCACAGTTCACTGATGATTCGACATGATGAAATAATATCTATTTAGTCGCAATTTATAAAAATACAGTGGAAAATGAGTTTGAATAGAATAAATTTACCACATAATTCATTAGAAATTATGATGAAAATTTCGTCATAAAATGCATTGTTTAAAATGAAATATAACGTGTTATGGTTTTTTAATGGTATGAATTTATAACCACATGATATCATCACAGGTAAAAAAAAAATGTGGTGTATTTTTAAACAGAGAGACAACGCAATCGAAACGAAAATTCAATAAGTGTTGGAAGTGAGATTAACTGTAAAGTATGAAAATGCAATATGTTTGAAATAATTTTTAATTTGAAATTTTTACCGATTTTGTTAGAAATTTTAATGGGAAAACAAGGGAAACAAAACATTTCGATTGAAAGAAACCCCAATGAATTGTAAAAATAAACTTCTTTCCCATCGAAACACGATTCTATTTTTAACTACATAAATAATTTTGCGAAAAAAACACAACACAAATTACTTACTCTGTTTCTGTGTGCACAAATGCATGTTTCTCTCCATTTGGATGGGAAACGATGCGTTCGTAGCAAAAGCAAACTCACTAATAACTCGAGATTTCAGAATCTCTTCAACATGTACGCTTTCGTTTGCGCCTTAGAATGGTTTTGACACATGTACATGACACAAGTGGTGACATCTCTTTGAATTTTTCTTACCCATATTGATGCAGTTCGAAAAACAAACAACAGCATCGGACAACATTTCGAAACAACACTTTTTAATTTTATTATATAAATATTTGTTTGTTTGTTTTTTTTTTGCTCTCAAAACAATTACTAAAAAAATTTCGGCATTGAGAATATGCCAACTACAAATTTCTGTTTTTATTCTCAAAATGATACGCTTATTTTGTCTGATTTCCAGTGTAGTTTTGTCGTTACATTTTATTTCAGTATTACATAAATCTCGATACGATTTTGAAAATTGTTTATTTTTTTATTTTTATTTTTTAAATAAATACAATGACATCCGTTTGTAATGGTTATAATTTTTTATTTCATTTTTCTCATTAAATTTGTATGTTTGTCGTTCAGATTTAAAATTGTCTATAAGATGAGAGTATGTCTAATTTTTTGGTTGGTTTCTGGTTTTATCATCATTTATCTTCTCATATTCAACTAGAAGACTATACTAAATTCATGTTCCATTATTTTCCATTTACTAAGCTTACATTTTATTTCATTTTGTGTTTGTCCTATGTTTTTGATCATTCGCACTACTGTATCCTTTAAATTAGTAATTTCAATTTAATAACTTTATTTAATTAATTTGCTAAAATATATTTTATTTTTGTACATGTTCAAGGGGAGGGAGAGAGTAAGAAAGAAGAAGAGAAACCGTTCGAAAAATGTACGTTTTAAAAAAATGAAGGGAATTTAATGCTAATATAAACAATTTTGATATCATTGTGCAGAAATCTTTCCGAAATGAACGTAATTTCGTGAAAGAGTTATGAATTTAAATGTATAAAGTTCGATTCACTTAGAATAAAAGAAATGGCATTCCATTGGAAATGCATTTCGGTGAATGCAAAAGATGACGAAGTAATACGATGACGAAAAGTAGAAAAAGGAATGCAATTTTAAAAAGAATGAGTTATGTTAGGTTTGTTAATTAATCAGCTAAATAGGAACCAGCCAATTCTGCAAAGATTTAGTTTTTCTTTAGAAAAAAAAAACGTTCACTTGTCATTTTTATTTTCGAGATGCCTTTTTTTTTGTTAGAAAAAGTATGATAGTAAAAGAGTTTATATAAAAATCTACATTTCATATGTTTTGTAATTGTACCTTAATTTTGTCTTTACTTGCTCGGTGGCGAATTCTATCAATTACATTGCATTGTCTTGACGGGTTTTTTTCTGTGATGAAATATTTTTTGCGCTTGAAGACGTGTCAAAATTCTGTAAGCCCTTATCACAAATTAATAATTTAAAATTATTAATTATGGATGTGCTTGCATTTGGATGCATTGAAATTTAGCTGCACCATAATTGAATTGAATTCAATTAGAATTTTGATTGAACATTTCAACGACTCTTCGATGTCGCAATGTGTGTATCAAAATGAACAAGACATTGTTATTAAGTTAATCAAATGGCATTTAATTTGATGTTTATGCTCATTGCAACGGTTTGCATTCCGTATCGTTCTAATTCAATTCGAATTGATTGATACATATATAAGGGTATATTATCTACATCGTTTGCAATGTCCGGAATTTCAAATATTTTCGATGAAATTTATCGATTTTATATTATTGGTCAAGTCCAGTAATACAGTCTAATAAAGTGAAAGTGCTGGCGCGTCAATATGTACATAGTTTCAACTCGATCAATAGCCAAGGAATTCAATACAATGCAATGTAAATGCAATTGCATTTAATTAGAGTTCAAACATTGTCCGACTGCTTTTTTTTTCCTCTCCGCAAGTTAAATTCATTTCATCAATAAGTCTCAATAAATTTTTGATTGACATTCTCAAATGGTTGTATGTGTGTGAGTCTATTTTCTTTTCGGTGTGTGTGTGTGTATGTATCTATATTCTTTGAGTTTTAATAACAATAGAAATTTGTCCGTCACTTATATATTATGTATATTGTTGTTTTTCTTCATCTTTTCATTATTTAAAGACCGTGTTGTAAAAGATATGTACGGATAAAGATGTTATAAGAGATTATTTGCGAAATATGTACGAGATATTTTCGATTTGGTTTATTTGATATTGTTTTTGATTGAATAAACACCATGGTCGATTTGAAAATATTATTGCTATGTTTGTTTTTTGTAGTAACTTTTCGCTTGTATAAAAACATTTAGTTGAAGAAAAAAGAAAACCGTGTGTCAATGGAATATATTTTGTTTACATGACCGATCACCGCATTAACTCACAACAAAATGGAATTGTGAATGTCACAATGTGCGTGTAATATGTAATGTGCATTATTATAAACAGTGCATGCACATAAACAAAATACCGCAACATTATTGATGAATTTCAAATGATCAAAAGAAAAATGCAAATAATCGGCGATACATTATCCATTGAAATGAACAGAAAAAAAAAACAATTTGTATAAATCTTAAATTAGTTTTGTGGTTATCACGAGAGAATAGATCTTTAGAGAGAATTCTTTTGAATTTGTGTTTAACTAGTGCTCGATCGAAATTCATAAATTTCTCCAATCAGTCCAGATTATGTAAGCGAATGCACTTTAGCTGACAAACAATTGTGTAAGACGAATACAACCGGCTTTGGGCAGCATTCCATATCGAGCTCCTGCAAAGATGGACGAAATCATTTGAATTTATATTTAGAAATGCCAACCTTGTAAATACATACAATTTCGCCTTCGTCACCGCCAAAGTCCAAAAACAGCATTCGATTGCCATCATCAGCAGATGATTTGAGCTTCTCAAATGTATATGACCAAATCGTTTTTGCTGGCGATCCCAAACTACTATCAACCAATGAAAATCCACGATCCAAATTCACCAACAACTGACATGGTCGATTCTATTTTCAAAAAAGAAGAAGTTAATATTTTTCAATAAAATTTATGCAGACATTTTGATTTCACGAAACAGTCGATAGGAACCAGATAACATTTTGATTTTATTTTTCCTACCTGATATAAACATCTGAATGAAAATTCTCGTTGATAGTTGATGGCATTGTGACTGCCTTGTACCAACGCTCGAGCCCAAGCAGCCATATCACGATGTGTTTCAGATCGAAACCAATGTGTTATTATACCACGTGGTGTACCACATCGCACACAAAATACCGTCGATTGATTTTGCTAATTAATTTCAATCGGATGAGAAAGAGAAAATGAGTAAAAAAAAGAGACGGCGATGAAAAAAAAACGGAACAAATATGTTTTATGCACACATCCGTATACATGAAAGCATTTAAAGTACATGTGCACATTGAGCCTTACCGAGCTTGAATTAACGGTTGAATTGTTGCCCGTTCCGGCCAATCGTGTTGACGCTAATGGTGAATTTTCAACCGGTTGATTCCATGCTTCCATTGACCACGGCGCACTCTCATATATCCTATAACAAAATTCAATTATCAAAGTGCAAAAATGAGAAAAACACAGCAAAAACATTAAAAATGTTTAACGACAACCATAATAAAAAGTGTTTTTTTTTTCGTGGCATGAAATAAAAAAAAAAAAAACAAAGAAAAAAATAGTAATGGTTGCGTATTCTCGAATAGGTATTTACAATGACATAAAACAAATGTCCATTAGCGATTAATATGAACATTGAACATGTACACAGTCGTCGAGATTTTTTTTTTTTTGCATTTAGTAGAAATTTCCGGTATTTTTACGATTTTTCATTTTCAAATGCTTCATGATTTCATATCATTTTCCATTTTCATCTTATTCATTGATTCACAACGTGATTCTATTTTACCAGAGGTTTCACATACGATACACACATATGATTATTATTTCCATTAGTGACATCAAATAGATCCTTTTTTCTGATATTTACGAAATGGATATTGTTTTACGTTTTGTAATGTATATTTCTGAAGCTAGTTTATAAATTGTTAACGATGACATAAACTTTGGTGTGTTTTTTTTTAACATGTAAGTTTACTTCACTTCAGTGAAATCAAATAAGATCGTTAAAATAAAAAGGAAATTAATTTTCATTTATACACCTGCACAACATGAAATGAACTTTGACGTTTTTTTCTTTTAAATTTCTATTATTCTTCGAAAGATGAGAATAACTTTAATATTGCTAAACATACTTTTTGATCAGGGGTCTCATTATGCCATATGATACCCCCTCGAAATTGAAAACCTTTTCCTTCTATTTGCGAGAAACTATATTTGGATTTGCTAGGGTTTTTTGTTCCGAAATAGAGTTTACTCTAAATAACTTTTGAAAATATCTTTCTATTTCCTCTTCAGTTCTTTCCAAATTAAATAGAATGAGATTTTCTTGCCCACCCCCCGCAATGACCTCATAAAACCTCTACTTCTGAAAATAGGCTTCCAAAATTGAAGTGAATTATTAAATATTTTGCTATTATCGGAATAATTGTATGAAAAAACAGATAATTTGTTGGAAATTGTGCCATGCATCTAGATAAATATTCATTTGGAAAACCCACACACACACACATTCCTTTCAATATTTTCATTCAAAATATGCGCTTTCTATCGATCAACTTTTGAAAAATCTAAATCGTTGTTATTATTCAATTGAAGTGGAAATGTGTCACTGAAATAGTTGGTGTTTTATTGTGTATATCGCTTTGGGGTTTGTTGTTCTTGTTTTGTCATTGTTCGAAAATGTCGACAAACGAACTGAGTGTTGTATAATTTAAATATGTAAAACTTTTAACTTTGATGTGAATACGTCGTTTGTTAATCAACATCATTAACAATGGAACCGATAAATTCCAGTTCAAAAAACGACATTACACTTTGCCGCCCCACATGGTCTTTTAACATTCATTTGGGTAATACGGAAATTGCAAGCGCATGTTTAAAAAAAACATTATTATTGAATTTATTTTAAACGAGGCTAATTTCATTGCACATTCATTGTTTTGTATATGGTGTAAAATATCGAAATTCGTAGATAGATACAGCGACTAATTCGAGGCATCTTTTGAAAGCCATTGTATCAATAACTATATTTCATAGCTTTTTCCATAATGTGTGTCACGAGGTGTCTATGTATGTAACATGTTCATCGCATTTAGTGAGGCATAAATGGTTTGAAAGTTTTACCGTGCGCACACAATTTCCATATCACTCGTTCCATTTCAATATTCCCATTAATTTGTGATAATTATTTTACAGCATATGATAACGTTTCGTTGGATTTACTTAACGTGGAATGTTTAAATCCATTAATGCTATTGTCGTTCACAAGACCTCACCGCACAACGATTGATGATCAATTTAAAATTACAAACACTTTATTCAATTAATGCTATATAGTGTAATGTTAAAATTTCATCATAAACTATTCCGTCTAATGAGCGACGCAAAGAAAGAGTAAGATTATTTAAGCCTTCGACAGTGGTGTCACTCACACGCACATACGTGCAAAGTGCCTCATCGCGATGATTGTCACATTCAAACTACGGCATATCTACATATGAAGCGCCAATTTATCAGCATATTCATCGCATTATCAGAGTTAAAAGACAAAAGCCATGAAAGTCTCACGTAATAACAATGTAATTTGATTGATTTCATTTATCGTTACGAACATAAGCATACCAGCCCACATTATGTACATTGACATTTTTTGTTCTTACTTCAACAGCTTGTCAATATTACACACGTGATTCAAGAAATATTATTCATTAGCTTCAAATATTGTGTGCTTGATTTTTATAGAAAGAAAACAATTTTTGATAATAAACTGATATCAAACTAGGATCAAAGGCAATGAATGGCGTTGAGAATAAAAAAAATCGCTGGAAAATGTTCATGTTCATTGTTGTTTGACCACTTTAAAAGAAATGTCTTATGGATGCAATACATTAAGCTTTTACATTTGGTTTTTTGTTCGCATTCGCGCTATTGTTATTTTCATTCTTTTGGTTTGGGATTTTCTTTCATTTTTAACATTCATTGCTTTTTTTTATATAAATATGGGTATGTATTAATTTTCTGCCACGAAATAAAATATTGGTTTAATTTTCAATTGATACTCGGCTTTTCCTATCGCAAAATGTCAAAAAAAGCAATTAAAATCATAAAAGTATTTTCCATTTTAAAATGATGAATGTTTGAAATATAAAAGAGTGTATTCATAATGACTTACCGCAATTCACGGTCGGTGATGGCAACGAAGACGGCCAACCACCGATCCAAATCATCTGAACTCTCCGAACTCGATTGACCGTTTTGCTATATATATAAAAAAAAAATTATTTTGAAATTGGCAAAAGAGAATGAGGAAAAATAAATAAAAGGAATGGAAACAATTATTCATAAAATGGTTGGATTTCATTGGTGAAACACATTCCGAATTGATTGTGTCAATGAAAAACGATGCAAAGACAGAGAGAAAATAAAACGCACACATCGAATGGTTCCGTTTGTTGTTATTTTAGGCTGATCAAATGAATAATGGATTTGATTTAATCGAATCGTGTACGTGGTTAGCATAAATATTGCATGCGACAAGTATAAACTGAACCAATGTGATAATTTCTTTTTATGGTTTCACTGAAAATTAACCACTTCAAATCAAGCGAAATGTTCATTTTTACGAATGTTCACATTCCTTTTTTCATATTCCCTGTCTCTCTGTGTGGGTGGTTGTGTGTCTGAATTATCCTTTACATGGTACGTTTTTATATGGAAATGAATAATTCGCGTTTGGTAGATAAATAAAAATGAAATCGCAGTGCCATCACATTGGGTTAAGAATAGACCAGAAAAAGTAGATTAAAAAAAATGATATAACTTTTGAATGAGGTTCAGTACACATTGGTAAAGAAAAAAAAAAAAAACATACCAAAGCAATGAAATATGCAAACCCCCATGATTTTTAAAAAAGCGGTCAAATACTAATGAAATATGGTCGAGCATTTGACCAATTCACAATCAGTTTGAAACGATGAGATACGCTTCTACATTTTCTTTTTTGGATTTTCGTTTTGAATATAAATATTAATAGACGTGTGCATTTGCAAAAAGAAAAAAGAAGAAGAGAAAGAGAAAAATGTGTATAAATTACCTGTTCGTTTCCGACTCGACGACTCAACCAGCCGATATGCTTCAATTCGCCAATAAGATTGGAGAGAGCCCGGTTTGCATCAACTAATGCTCGCTGTGCACTACGTGCAATTGCCGAATGCAATGCATTGAACCATGCCAATGCCTCTTGTGAATCCCCAGCACGTAAAATGCACGAATGTATTCCATCCGGCGAATGAAGTTCGATGCAACGATTTTCTGCCGAATGCATAAGAAACAAGTTAAAAAAATATATTTATAGAAAGAGACAGAGAGAGAGGATATTTGTATCAGAAATGGTTTGCCATCACACTAAATCATTTTTGAAATTGCAATTTGAATAAATCTGAGAGGAGAAAGCTTAAACGCGCTGATGTTCATTATTAATCAATCTCAGATTCTTCGGAAAAAAATTTATTGTGTACACGAGAGAGCTTTTTTTTCATACACTACACAAAGCTAGTTTTTTGTTCGTATTCTTTTACTTCGCCATCATCAAATTTCGTTCGAATCCATAGATGTAAATTATAACCGTTGGCATTTTCAATATTTTTCAACGGTTAATTTTAACGAAGGAAAAATCCATTCAATTTAGACGACTTTTGAATAAGACTCATTTGTTGTGAGAAAAAAATTTCCAGTCTTCACTCACTTGATAATGATACGAAAAAAATGGCCGTACTGCATTTTGTTTCATAGTTTTCTGTAAAGTATTACCATTAATTAAAAAAGCTGTTGTAACATATGCAGAATTGTCAATATAAAAAAGTTCCACAATCCGAATTTACTAGTTATTGATTTCCCATCAAAGTGGGGATAATTACAATATTGTCTGACAATCATGATTGTACTTAAGAAAATTGCAGAAAAAGTTTGACTTTTCTCAACTTTGGTTTTGACAATTATGTTGACATAACAAAATGGAAAAGAATATATATATTTATGTGTGAATTGCGAAGGAGGAGTAGGCGAAGAATTCACATTTAGGTAGGAGTATGCATCAAACAAAAAGAGTAGAGAAAGTTCGCATTTTCATCATAAAGTATTTTAAATGGTAAAAGCCTTGTGTAGTGTTCCATTCATTAAATTGATATTTTGTGTATGCAATTTAATGGAGGCAAATGTCTGTGTTACATTATGATTTGAAAACCTTTCAAAGGGTTGTTTAGCATGATGAAAATCTTGTAGCACACTGAAGCATACGTCAAATTGACATGAATTCAAATCGTTTGGAAGAGCAAGAATGCGAAATGTGTGTGCACGTTTTTCTTTCCGTATATTTTTTTTTGTTTGGATTGAAATTGCATTGTCTGTTTCATTTTCACACATTTCATGGGATCGAGAAAAAAAAAACACAAACAAACAAACAAAAAATAGCGAACTATAGAAAAAGCGACGAGTCGAACAAAATCCGCCGGCTGCAAATAAACGGAAGGAAATCAATGAATAAATGAAATGAAAAACAACACGCCAAACAAACCATTAAGTCGAAAGCGACGTGTGCAACTTTAGCTGAAAAAGAATGTGTGCTCTCTTTTTCTCCGCCGAAATGTAGCAATCACAGCCATTTTCCATTAACATAATTTATGACACAGTGCGTGCCATGAAATCAAATAAACACTGTGTTCGCTTAAGGGAAAGCGGAAAAATGCCGATTTTTTTGTGGTATATGAAAAAAATTTGGTCAAAAATATTCAACTTAACGCCACTCGAGATGGTGTTATAATGAAATGCAAAGAAGCAAAGGAAAAAAAACACATCGCAGCTAAAATAGTTCCGAAAATACAGTCGATTTTCCACAGGGAGCACCACATTTACTACTATAACAGAAAAACAAGCGAGATTTGTTCAAACCAAAAGCGGTAATCATGGTGTGATTGGCAATTTTTTTTTTATCGCTCATCCGCGAAAACTGGAAGGCAATTTAATTTTCTTCGTTCTGCTGTTTTGAATAGTCTTTTTTTATATCGTCTGGTGTAAATGCTGCTGGTTATACGTACCTGGATCATGATATTTGAGATTTCGTGCTAAATGTGTCAGTTGTAATGGTATGTAGCGTGTATCGGCCCGTGGCGGACTTTTTGGTGCCGATGGTGGTGACATTGATTTCGATGATGTGTTCAGCATATTTGAACCATTTGGATTAATCAACGGACACAGAAAGGCTTTACTTAACTCCCATCCAACCTCCGATATAATGCTTGCTTTCCGAAAATATGGTGTCACTTCTTGCAAAAACTTAACTGCATTGAGAAGAAACAAAATAAAGAAATAAAATTACACGAAGGAAAAATAAACGGTGAAATGCAATTGTTTACTGTTCAATCAGAAATCGTATATTTTAACGTAGAAAGGTGAGACACTCAAATTACATGCGATTGAATTTCAACAATGGGCTTCGATTTCAATGCATTCTCTTTCATTTGCCGTTGCCGTTGCCATTGTCATATGGCCAGAGAAACAAAAAAAAGGAAATACTCAATTCCTTTCTTTAATGAATTCAGTTGCGTTTTCGGACCATTTTCCACTTCATAGCTAAGAAAATTGCACTTAAATTGAAATATCTCGTGATTTTGACAGGTTTTTCATTTTTTCTTTTCAAAACCATTCGAATTTTTTTCTTTTGGATCTTGCAGTTTTCGTGTATTCTCATGGCCCATTTTCCATGAGCATAAATAAATGAAAAGGCTTCTCGAAAGCATTTTCGTCAAATGGAATCATTCGTTTTCAGTTGTTGTTGTTGTTGCATTTCGATTGCAAATTGATAAAAGTTCCAACAATGAAACAACAATATACATCTCTCGGTTCTTCGTTCGTTTGTTTGTTTTTGTGGCAGTTGTCCATTGCACATTATGCATCTTAATTTACAACAAACCACAAAGGAGTCGATTGGAAAAACAGCATCACGTTTTTTACATTTCTGATGTATTTGAGTTCGTCGGAGTTATAAAAACCATCATTTTTCTGCAATTGTACAAACGATGAATGCCGCGAATGAAATGCGGAGCATTGCACAGAATTAGTGTGAGTAAACTGTGTGTTGTTCGAGAACTTGCCATTTTTTCGACATTTTTTTCCTTTATTTCGGCTGCTTTGATTCATCTGTGTTTGTGGTACATTCATTCACTAACAAATGGTGTTGTCGTCGTCGTCGTCGTCGTTGCCGTTAGTTTTTTTTACATTGTCGTCGGTCTTTGACTGCCCGCAAGTTTCTTGTGAGGCTGATTTTCGCGTGCACATACCAACTCTGAGCCATAAATATTACCACATCATTCCTTTTCATTGTTGGTACAGTTCTTTTTCTTCTTTTCTCCTTCACTTTCTCTCTTTGTTCTACTTGGCCCATTCTACTTTTTAAATTTTAATTCATTTTTTTTTGTTCGTGATAAATTCTGACCATTTTCAATGCGAAACACAGATCATGTTGATGTTTACTTTTTTTTTTTAAACAGTCTATGCGTGTCCATTCTCCATCGTCAGCACAAAAAAATCGCCGCACGCATTCAAATAACACTCACGTTTTGCATACAGAAAAATGACCATCCTACAGATGCCTGGTGTGGTATTTTTTTCACCAGTGGTCACATATATTTGTCCGTAAGCCGTTATTTTTTCACGCTTTTTTGTACTCGATCATCCAGAAGCTTAGCTTCGTAACAGTCATGTACATTTGGACAAATTAAGAATTATCATTGAAAATAATTCATAATTTTATGAGCTGTAAATGAGCACACAACGTGTGTGCATTTATTTAAAATTAGGCGCAAATTACGTTGAGTGTAAAAAAAAATGCGAGAGAAAAAAAAATGCATGATGCGCTATTTTTTGCTGCATTAAAATTGCACTTTTGAAACGTTTCAGAATGTTATTCACATTAATTATTGAATTAAACAACATTTTAAGTGATTCCCAATAGGAAACTTATTCCATGTTGGGCTGAAAGTAATTCATATGTTCCACTTTTGAATGGAAACAATTCACGTTTTACTTTTCCGCACACCTAGTGTAGGAAAGGTATTGTATTAGGCCAAAAAATTAAAGTCACCCCAAAACAAGTTTTCTATGCATATTTCATGTAGAAAACACGATTGAAGATGATTTTGGAGCATATTTATGTGCGTCGCTGTGTGTGATGTGTCCTGTGTCCTGTGGCGTGCAAAATTTGTTAACACAATAAGTCTTCTTCCAAAAACTCAATTCAAATTCTGACTTTATTTTTTGAGTAATATCTGTTGACCGGTGTAATTTTTTTTGGTCCGAATGGAGTACCCACCTCCATAAATTTTTTGATCATTTTTCAACCATTTTGGTGACACGATGGTTTCTTGCTCAGACATGAAATTCAAAATCTGACTTCACGGGATAATTGGGCACTACGAGGAATAGATCTGGTCATATTTTCAGCAACATTGATTGATCGGTGTAAAACTTAGACTCTGAAGAGGCACTTATAAGAAAAATGCCTTAAAATGATATTCTTTCAATTTGAACACTGAAAGAATGTGTAGTTTTTTGGCACGAGAAACCCGAATCTGATGTTAGTTTTAAGATGCAATCAATCTTTCACAGACTTTTCATACAAAAATCCACAAAAATTTCATTTGTATGAAAGACATGCCTTTGTGGTACCGTAATGATGTGACTCTTTGAACAGGCTGTTTTGTTTGATTGAAATTTTTTTTGTGTGATTATTTATTTTGATAAGAAAATAATATTCATAAGTTTTCACTGTAATTTAAGTTACTGCAACCATACATAGACCATAATTTCAGTTTATTCCCAAAATTTCGGTTCCATGCGGAAAAGTCAGCTCGTGTACGTAAGCCTCTTTATTTTTTCTATTTTTCGGTTCAAAGAGTTGCGAGCATGTTTCAGACTTCGCCATTACTAACCTACGAATTTTGGCCAAATGGTTATTACGATTAATACGGCTATGAAATTCAGTTATGCTTGAGGCTTTCCTAATAAATTCAGCTATTCGCTGCTAATTTGACACAGTATTTATTCAAACGAAGCATATTTTTTGCATATATTTTTTTTCATCAGTTTTGTATGTCGATCGATTCAATTGACAAACAAAATACTGTGGAAACAAAATCAGATATTTTCCATTCGCACTGGAGTAATTATCAGCAATAAAACACACAGAGCGGGCATGAATAGAGAGGGTAAGTAGAGGGGATGAAAAATTGGTTGATTTCCGGGCACTGACCAAAACGGAGAGCCGGACAAATAGCTTTAAAAACAAAAATACAATTTGCATTCGAAATTCGTTTTTGAAACTTTCCGTTCGCATTTTTTATTCGACCGGTTGGTGTGTAGTTCATATTTGATGATTGTCGGTTGCGAAATTCTTTATGTGAATGCCGTGTATCAGCTACGTGAGAATAATGCATTGACAATAGTGTCGGCTCTCTTTTACACACTCTGTGTGTGTCTCATGTATAGACAACATGTTGCGGTGCCATTGCACCGTATGAACATAGATTTTCAGCAAAATACTGGAAATATTCTATTGAGTCAGTGTTTGCACGATAAATCAGAGGTGTTCCTTTTTTTATGCAATTTTTGTCAGCTCTAGCATATACAAAATTTGTGCATAATATCATTTAGGCGAGTAAATTCAACAATGGCAAAGGTAAAATGTGTGTTTTATAGTAATTTCAAGAATTTTTTTTGTACTTCGCTCTTAAACTCAATGAAAAAATTATCGCGAACAAGAGTTAAACGAACTAAAAAAAGAAGAAGATTGAAAATGGATTATAAATCTATAAAGATCGTCCCTACTTTAACGTTTGAACGTTTGAAATGTTTCATGTGTACAAATTAATATCTAAAATCAAGTGCATATGATCCACTGCACTTGAATGACACAGTCGTTGTCATTGCTTTGGTTTCTAGTTCTTTATCCATCATGTTTTATGTGCAGGTTGCCTTTCTTCCATTTTTCACTTTGATAACGCTTTTAATCTTGCCGAATGGCATTTCCACTTTTTGAAGAAAGATTTTTCGAGATTTTTTTCAAACTACCCTTGTGGAAATATTTCGACTTCATAGTCGACTAAAAATTGACTAATTTGGGACAAAAATAGCTGATATATCAGCCAGCTAAAGTTAACTATAAGTGACTATATGCGTCTTCGTGTAATTTGAGTTGAGAAATGTCGACTGTGTAACTATAAGTATATGAAATTGACTTTTGTCAACTATGTTGACTATAATAACTTTTAGTTGACTCTGAAACATAACCGACTATATTCGATTTCAATCATCTATTGGTAATTTAAACCGAATAAAAGTGATTAAAATTGACTTAATTTATAGTCAGTCAGTCATTTTTTTTCCACAAGGGTATCTATTGATATTTAAATAAAATCTCTCAATAGATAGTTTTACTTTCCCCAAATGCTCACGGATCCCTTTAGTTGGTGCAAAAAGCTGTTATTGACCAAGTTTTTACAGAAATCAGTTAAAAAGCAACCAAATAATCAACTCTGTAGTAGAGCAAAAGGTATTTTTCAATCAATTCCAGTTGAGAAAATAAAACTTCTCTCGAAGCCGATGAAAATTGTGCTAGAAGAATTACGCAAACTTATGGTTAAAGAAAAAGTTCAATTCTATTGCTCGAAGCCAACTAATTTTGGACATGAAACTAACATTTAAACGAATGTTTCGGAAAGATTAATATTCGGACGAGCGCTTCGCCATAAATTCTAATCCATTTTAAATAGCACCAAATTCATTTTATATCCAAATATTTTGAAGATGTTCAAACTGTGCGACAAATCAATTCACTATTAAACCGATTTTTGAAGTATTAACTGAAGTTTCCGGGACATTTTCGTTGCAGTGTATAAAATCATGGTATATTAAATCTGATAAAACAGATATGAAATTGACCATAAATTGGAAAATCGACTTACAAACGTAAATCTAACGTTGTTATTGTCAAAATTCATTGTGTCTAATGTGTTTAAATTTCATGGATATTCTCGAAAGAAATCCTGATATATTCTCATAACTCAGAAAAAACTGAGGCAGATGTTCAATAAATAACTTTTTTTCACGTTTTAAGCGACGTCATTTTCAAATATTGATTATACTGCATATAACCTGGACCATTTGCCAAATAATATTTTGTACGTTATATGAAATTGAATGAAACCCAAAAGCAAAAATGTCCGAGCAATTAGAAAGTGCATTCGTCAAAATATATTTGAAACAATTGAATCAATTGTGAAAAACAATTCGCTGTAGTTGAAAATAAGTTGCAAAAAAGCTTTGTCGAACGTGCACGTTTCATCACATTAGTAAATGAATGCGTCTACACACGATTGTCTTTCACACTCCATCATCACATTGTCGATGTCGTCATTATGTTTTATTGCTAACTTTGGAATATTCACAAACTCAATGGAAGAAACTTTTTTAATAAATTCCAACTTTTAAGCGAAAAACAAAGCCTCAGCTACCCAAATGCTCATTGTTTTCTTCTTCAGTGGCTCATCGTTGTGTTTGTAAACAAAAGCTGAGTGCTGCGGACGAAAAACTACAGGAAAAACTTAGTCAAATGGAAATGCAATTCATTATTGGCATTGAAATCGTTCAAAGACCGTAGATATTTCCATTCAACACAATTGCATGCAACTTTAAATATTACTTCGAAATCATTAGATTGAAAATTGGAGCCGTCACCGTCTACATCGATTGTACAAATTTAAAATCAATTATTTCTTCAGATGACAACAACACAACAACAACAAAATGTACGTGTAAATCTCAATACAGCCTAACCATCAATTTAAAAGTTGGTGTCGACTCTTTTTTTTAATGGAAATCGTGCATATATTTTGAGCTCACCTTCTAAATCGACAACCCGTCCAGCTCGTTTCAATGCACGAACGGCCTCTTCGTGCGTTGCATCACGTAATTCTTCACCATTTACCGATAATATTGCATCGCCTACGTACAATGCTTTCGCTTTATCAGCAGCCATTCCTTGAAATATTTTTGATATTAAAATTGGCATTCGATTTTCTCTGCCGCCCTTTATAGAAATTCCTAAACCACTATTATCCACTTTGGTTATTCGCACCTAATTTATTTGAAAGTTAGAAAAATAGAGAGAGGAGGGGTAGTGAGAAAAGGAAGTAATGATGACATTGAATGACGATTAATAAAGAACATTTTTCAACTTACATGTCTTTTTTGATTTGCTATTTCATAAGGTGCATCGCATACTTCAGCTCCGGAACTATTGTCTGCTGAATTATTATTAATATTTAAGTATTCACTGTTGCTAGTTTCTTCGGAATTTAATGATGAAACACCATTTCCAATACCTGACGATGGTAGTGAACCGCTTGATCCATTATTTCCACTGTGATTGCTTCTGCATATGATAAAATTCATCAAGAAAAAAGAAATGTATATTTGAGATAAAAAAAACTGGAACCCTTGAAGTTTGAGTACACGTAAAATGAGTATTGAGTCTACATTTCAAGTGTCATCACCATTTTGCTCTTCAATTTATTTATTTCATGAAAAATCAAATGAATTCAACTTAAAGTGGCATATGGGATTTTTCGTGAACATTTTATATGATTCCATGTGGCAATTTAATTTGATGTGAATGACAATGCAGTTTTGTGATTGCGGCAATAATGAATTAATCGAAAACTTAAATGAAAAATGAAATTGTCTACTTTAAAAGAGTAGGTGGAAAAGTGAGTCTTCTGTCAAACTTAAATATGCATTTTAATGCGATTAAAAGAGACAACCGCATAGACTTCAGCAACTCCTTTGTGAACAGTGACAATCATTTCGGCAATATTATATTTAGATGACAACGAATCGGTTTTAGTCTATGATTCATCCCGAATTATGCAAAGCATGGCAGAAGTGACAGTTGGGCAACGCAGCATTGAATAATGGCACAAATTTGTACCAGCAACCAATAGGGTTGCTATAGTTCATCTGGCAACCGATGCGAGCGCGTCGGTCATTTTTTGTCACTGCCGTGCTTTGGAATTATGGATAGATTTTTAGTTATTAAGAATTTAAAGTTTTGAAAATATATGGAAATAGGAATTCGCGAGTTTTGATTTTCAAAGGAACTTTTGTCAAAGGAATAATATGAACAAGACTACATAATTTGATTGTGGTTAGATGCAATAAAAAAGTTATTTCCAAAAATTGTAAGTTGTATGTGTGAAAGGGGCCATTTAATTAAAATTGACAAGTATTTGTTCGAAAACAATTCAGCAGAGAAATGAAAATTACGAATTCGATAAGCGTATGAATGTGTGTATGTGTGTTGCTTGTGTCGCACAATTTAAATTGCATACATTCCCATGGAGATTACTGAAATAATCCAGAATTTTTGGCAACGTTTTTGAATATGCAAGGAAAAAATGCAACTTTATTTTGAATTTTCTATATGAATTTAGTCAACGAAGCAACGAAGAAGAAAAAAGCAACGATGCCTAAGCATCCTTCGATTAATTCACATGAAATATCACAAAAAGTTAGTCTTCTTTCTTTCTTACCCCAATGTTCCGTTTAATGTGGTAGTTTGATCGATCGGTTCACATGTTTCGTCCAAGCTAACCGATAAATAGTCCGATTCAAGTGTTACGGTTACTCGATACCATGCACCCCGTACAAATGTTTCGAGCATACCACATCTTGTTGTACCGGTCGCACCAATCATTACCGTTGCAGCTCCGTTTGAATTGATTCCAGTGCCCGCACCAGTTGACATTCCGTCCATTGGATTATTGCGAGTCATTAATAATCCAGATGATTCGACCATTTTAAATTCGGCATTCACTAGATTAACACGGCACTATATGATCGCCTTTTACGGTGAATAGTATCCCAATCACTCACTTTTATAGCGTGTTATTTTCTTCTTTTTTTCTCGATTGTATTTTGTTGATATTTAGCTAAAAGAAGCTCTGCATATATTCACTGAAAATGAATAAGGAAAAAATAGAAAGGACATTCATTGCACATTTTTATTTGTTGAGTTCGGCATGTAAAAAATACAAAACGCTAGGCAAAATGAAATGCTTCTCGAATTCATGTGAAATGAAAAAAAAAGAAACAAAATACTTGACTATAGTGAAATTGAGAATCCTTGAAAAAGCTCAACCGATTGTAAAAGTATAAGCACAGCATTACGTTAATACAATTGGGATTTTCAGTATTTTATTTTTACAAGAACAGAGTCATTCTCAAATGTATAAGTCTTTCGATTTAAATCAGATTTCAGGCTCCCTTAAAAATCACTACCATTCAGACTCAACAACAAAATAGAAAGTCACAAAGCAACACTATCACATAATATTTTCTATAAGTTTTCGTCTTGCTCGAAATATTCGCAAAATATGGACATCATTTGATTGTTGCTTGTGGAAAAGTTTTTTTTAAAAACAATTTTCTTACTTCGTTAAACTTATTAACAAAATAACAAAAACTGAAAAATAAATAAATGAACTTGTCCATAGTTTAACAACTATTTTCAACAATTTGTCGTGTAAACATTTGCCAAATTCGCCCAAAAGTAGCTTCTTCAATGATAACAAAATAAGTTCATTGCAAGAATGTCTCCAAATTAAATCAACGTCGTTGTTCTATGTATTTGTCTATTTCTTCTTTCGTTTCGTTTGTTGGTAACATTTGGCTTTGAAATACAAAAAGAATAGAAAATAACATAATTTCACTGTCATTGTAAGTGTTTACCAATTGAAAATTGCTAAAACATAATAATATCCACCTGAAAGTGATGTTAGTCGTACACATACAAAGGGAAATTTTCATATTTTAAAAACTTTCAAATTGATTTAAAATGGAATCGGTTTTTTGTTGTTGAGATTTACTCAACTCTTTCTGAGATTTTACCAACACCGAAGAATTCCTAAAACTTTAAACTATTATATGCACAAAATAAAAATAAATTGAAACAAATACTAAAAAGAGAGTTCGCTCTCTCAAAAAAAAAAATTGAAATTGCAAATGAACAAAAATTGAAACTAACAAAATGACGGAAATGTGTTTCCATATCACTCCTTTTGCCTGGAAAAAGTGAAGTGTACGTTCCAATAATAAAAATTTATGTACGTATGCACTTACTAGGCAATATTAAAAACCGAATATAGCATTTTAACCGAGTGAAATTCATTGTATCTAGTCTGATGATTTCCTCAAACCAAAAACGAATTAGAATTTGTGCGAAAAAAATGAAAAAAAAAACTCGATTCGAGTTGAAATACACACATACATTTGGCAAATATACATTAAACTAGAGCCAGATCTAGATAGTATATAGTGAAAGAGAGAAGATAGAGAGATAGAGAAATAAAGTGAGATGTTAGCAAAAGCACACAAAAGTCGAACAAAGGCCGAAATGGCAACAACGAAATGTCATCCGAGAACTAGTGTATATTTCAGGGTGTCGAAAATTTTTGTTTCGCAATGAATGGGAAGTGTTATACACGACTTAGAATGCAATAAGTATGTACAATAGTTTGAATGTAATTCAGTGTAATAATTTTATTTAACACCAATAATCTTCTTGTATCAATGACGCGCTGACATTAAATGAAAATGCGATGAAAATGACTTTAAGACGCGATCATGTATATATTAAATATGCGGAAACAGCGAATTTCGTGAGACCGGAGGCAATATTTTTCTTTATACTAACATGACCGTCCCCCAAGAGAGTCTTATTCACATCAAAGAAAACATGGAGCAGGAATGAACGTCAAATAATGTCGCATGTCCAAAACAAGAGAAATTGAAATGCGATTTCTCATCATTCGTTGCATTTTCGTTGAAGTAGATTAATTTGATCTTCATCGTATTCGTTCTTTGGCAAATGCAGTGTGATGTATACAACATGCACCCCGACTGAATGCAATCTGATTTGCAAAGCAAGAAATGTGTGCTTGAACCTATTGAATGAGAATGTGCCAATATTTGCGTATTTTATGCCATGGTAAGCATTCCATATATCGTATTTGGTATGAGGATAACTACGTAATAGACGGTATGTTATATCGTCATTTGATTATTTGTTTGCGCTTGGTTGGTTCGATTGGCGCGCGATGCTACATGGCTGATGCATTGCCATTACACGGCATTGTCTTCACACATTTGCAAACAAACACGGGGGCGAACGGCAAGACAAGAAACTCTTCGGTTTTTTTTTTTGTTGAAAATGACACACAAAGTGTGTGTGGCATCGCAACCAATGCAAGCGAGAATATCAGACACACTAAAATACCATCCATCTGATAAATAATGTTGAATTTTCAAGACTGCAAAAATGATTGCAATTACATATTTTTGGTTCCGTTTCACATTTCCCTCGATTGCAGCCAAGTAATCAAGGCAAACAATTTTTATTGATGATACGTGTTTTGCAAAAACGGGTCATCATTAATCCAGTGATCTGATCGCTGTGCATGGTTATGTTTCCATAATTTTAATGTAATCATGAAATACGTTCGCATAATAACTTCAATAGTTTATGTTCTATTTCATTCGCATATCAAAAAGTCTACCGCACATTGGTGAAATTGGTATTGATGATAATAAAAGTGCATTACAAAAAGAAAATCATTCTTTTTTCGTGCACCATACACTTTTAGTGCAACTCACTTTAATCAGTCGGCAATTCTGTGTCGAATTCATGTGTGAACTCGCTGGAAATACCAAAAAAATGTCCAAAATGAAATCAAATGAAGCATGCTTCATCTGGATGAACGAATAGAATTCGCATTGGTGAATACGAGTATCGTTCTCGCTCTATCTCATTTACTCTTTTGGCACTCTATTATTGGGCGGTATTTTATTATATGTTCGACATTGTGCGGCTGACAGATTGTAAATGCAGTTCATTGAGAAATTTGTTACAATAAAAGTTATCAAATACCATCCCCCACAGGATTGGAGGTTGCCAAGTGTGTTTATTCAATTCCGTACTCAGCTCGCTCTATCCGTACCTACCTCCCTTCCTCCCTCACTACATCTCTTTCGAAATCGACAAATTCATTGATTTGTTGTAGACATCGTGTAACATTTGATTGCATTTCACTTTGTACAATGATTTCAATGCTAAAGCGAAGCGCAGACAACATTTTGGCATCTTTAAAATTCAAATGCAACACATGAAATGACTGTCACATAAACATGCAATATATTGCATATGAATACAGTACGGGTAAAGTGGAATGAATGACGTATTTCCATTGATATGAGAATATAGTTTACAACTGGTTTCAAATATGTGTACATCATGCATTCGCTGTTTATGCCATTTTAATAAAAGCTTATTTGAAGAAAAAAAACACACACACAGAATGCGTCCATAAAAAGTAAATATAGCATTAAAAAACTTAACATAATTTCTGCAGAATTAGTTTGAATTCAAAAAGATAACTTTTATATTCAAACTATGTTGATGGGGGAAGTTATTATGCATTTTTCATTTGAAGCGCCATGAATACTAGAAGCCATTTATGCCTTTAAAGTTTTAACTAAACGGAAAAATTAATTAATTTTGCAAATATCCTTTTATTGGAAGTTTGTGCCATATAATCTTCTAATTCGCACTATTCGGTATGAAATTTAGATGCACAAGTGAAGCGATATTAGCAGCAATTGGGTCGATCAGGAATTACCGCAAATTTATGGTATTTTGATTATTTGTTCGACTTATGAATATGTCTTATTTCGTTGTGGTGCAGTGGTCGCACACATCCCACTCAAGTTTGGTCGTAATTTTTTCGAAACACCATTTAAACTATACATAAATTACAACTCATACAAATAGTAAAGGTATTCCGCGATAGTGCCTGGCTGGAATGTACAACAAAATGTTCAATTCATTTAGAACTTTATGAAAATGTTGGCATCTGGCGGCTTCATTTATGGTGCTTGTTGTTTTCACCGTGCAAAGGGTGCATTACAATGATAATACCGGTACAAATAGAGGATGACAACAGTTGCCAAATTGTACATAAAACATAAGTCTAGCTATTGCTAGATTTCCAAATCAATACAGACAATTGTTTACGAAAATACAATTATGATGAATCTTTCGATGTCATCACACATGGATGCATGTGGCACACTACTGTATTTCGATAACATTTTCAGAAGCCTCACAAATGCCCGATTCAATATCGTATACTTTGAGAGTAATTTATAAATTGTTCAAACGATCAAATTAATTTTGCCAATTCTAACCGCCAATTGTCGAATAAACAAAAATTAATTGAATTAAAAACCATTCGATTTCGTTCTGGTACTATGTAGACAACTTTAAAACTCGTTGAATTTCAATGAACAAAAAAAATATTAAACTATTATTTGCCCTCTAAATGAATGTGTACTTGAGATAAACAATAATACCTTATTGGAATACACCATTCAATTGAGATAACGTTACATTCTAGTTTCAATAGGTTTTGGTTTACATTTTTTTAGCGGTAAACGTTAAATCGTTTTTGTTTATACCAAATAACGTGATTTAATTTAAAAAAAAAAGAGAATCCATCTAAAAGTGCTAGGTTTTCTACTGGAAACATAAACAAAATGTAATTGAACCAAAAAATATCTATCTCTATTTTTAAATTTGGCGAGAATTTATTTATAGGCATGTTCCAACATTTCGATTAGATTCACATACAATGCAATATTAATCATGCTGCAATGTAATTGTGATTATTGGAATTTCGTTTGAAAAAAAAAAGAAGATTTAAAACCAAAATTGATTCTACTCACTTTTGAACAAGCTTTTGTGAAAATAGAAAAACAAACACACAATGAGTCAAATACATTTCCCATACACATGGATACAGTTGGCACACACTATATTTTTATGTATATATCTAAATGATGTGTTTCCAAAGTCTTCGTAATTTTGGTCCACTTTGTGTATTTTATTTGTGAATCTCAATGAATTCGTCGAGAAAAATTGAAGTTATACAAATTGCGTATCACACATTCGAACAAACAAACAAACAAACAAAAATTGTCGAAAAATTTGCCACATAAAATGTGCTTGTTGTGTTTTCTTGTGATCAATTAGAAATTAGTACACACGGCACTTAAGAATGAAAAAATCGATTTGTTTCTATAGAATCTATACATCTCACGTTTATATGCAAGACTGTGTGCAGCAGCGCACTTGTCATTTACGACTGGGAACAGTAACAACGTTTTTGAAATTTATAGTAAATTTTTTCACACTCAACGCTTTTCCCCCGAAACACACAATTACCAAGCAGATTAGTGGGGCGCGAAATGCAGTGAGTTTTCATTGAATTTGATTGGCCATTGCAGCACAATCCCCGGATAAATTTGCACAAATCCACTTGATTCACAATTATTTTTTTCTTCCTCGCAGGCTGATTTTTGAAAATAAAATGATTTTTTTTTTTTAAATTGCAACAACAACAAAAAATTGATTGAGAATAAGTTTTTTGGTTGGTAATTTGTGTTAAGACATGAAATGTCGACAATGTTTGATCTACTCTAGTCGTTGGATGAAAGTGATATGCATGTGTAGTGGTGTGTTTATGGACGCGCACGATTGTATTGCACATCTCGTCATCTTTTTGGGGTGGCTTTTCGTATGTTTTCTTTATATATATAAATGTACATATAAATACATATGATGGCGTCAACGGCAGCAGCAAAAGATTTCAATTCTCGATTCGTATCGTGGATAAAGTGCTCACTTGCTTTGCCATCGCACAATAAACGCATACAAACAAGTGCCCATGTCAATGCTATGCTATGCTGTACAAGTTCTATGTAAAATAATCGGTGTATAAAGTTGAAAGCGCGCGGTAGAATGTTATTTTAACAGTTTTGAGCATGAGCATTGATTGATATACACAGCAGTGTGCGTTTATATGAAGAGTCAACGCGTACACACATTCAAATGAGCAACAAATCGTGCCTTTGTAAAAAAAAGCGGCTATAGATGAATGTAAAACGATGCGAATTTTACCATTAAAATGTATAAACAATAGAATTTTTGTTGTTGTCACTCTGAGGAACATACACATGCATACACATTCTACATGAAATCCCTTCACATGATTAACATATGAAATCATTTCTAATAGGGATTTCTCATCTGAGTGAATCTGTTTGCACTCTTTTGCGGTTTGTCACATCCAAGCGGAAACCAACAACAACAACAATAAAAAATGCAATAAAATAAGATAAAAAGAATTTAAAAAAATATTTATATATCAGCCAATTTTACGCCATTTAAAGTAAAAACAAACGATTAAAATATACGCATACATAAAAACGAAATTCAGTTATTTTGTTAACTGTTGGAATTCGCTTCCATTCGAGGGCTGAAACATTGTTTTATTTTAGTAAGGAATATTTGCATTTTCCACATACAAACAATGTTTTGTGTATGTGTATATGTGTTCGTTTTTAGTCTCTTTTGTTTAACTATCATGTTTATCTGTGTCAAATGACGTTTTCTATGCCTTTAATTTTAATGTATCCGCCTTTGATGCAAAAAGCTGTTGCAGCTTTACTAAACAGTTCAATGGCTTGTAAGTTTTTCAATGGAAAAGCATATGAAAAACTATCATGAAGGAGTTAAGTTTAGAGATTGAATGACGCTATATCAAAATGCGTACGTCGATTTAATGGCACAAGACAAAGAAAATGGATAACATCAAAATTGAAAGAGAAAAAGAGTGAAAAAATTATGACGGATTTTGCAAATATGTATGAGTAAGTCACGCGATACGGGACACTATCAAGTGTATTTAAACAGAGAGGAAGGATTCTACTGAATAACAATCATGCAAACACAGAGGCTCGACATAAATCGGATAGGAATCCATGTTCATAAAACGAACGATGGTTTTCAATGAAATACAACAAAAAAAACAACGATGATGTTGACAGCAGCAACATTTAATGTTCACTGCAAACGCCAACCAAAGGCATATATTAATCTTTGAATTGATTGTTTTCAGCTTCTTTATGTTTTTGGATTATGTCACACATGTTTTATGATTATCTTTTAAATATATCACAGCCCATTTTTATCATGCAATATGACAAATAGCGTAGAATGCATTTTTGATTTAACTTATAATATTATATACCTGTTGAATTTTTTTAATTCGCGCTTGAACAAGTGAAAAAGATCAGTTTTTAAATTTTGAACCTTCGGTTCGAAATTCAAGACCAGTTCTTTTTTTGTTTCACCGATGACTTTTTAACTTTTACTTTTGCAACCACTAGAAATTGCAAACAAAAATGTGGTGCTTGTGATATTTCCCATTTTCAACAGCTGTGCATTCATCACATCTATGAAATGCATGCTGCAATGTAAATATTGGCCAATCCTTCTAGTGATCACGCAAAATAAATATGAACTATGAAGAATGTCCATTTCAAAGTGATTGCATGCATTGTTCAAAACAATTGAAACATTTGCACGGAATATGCATAATTTCTACTAACCATTTGGTTTTGTGTACTGTTATTACGTGTACAGCAATTAGAATAATAGCCGTTGATGATTGCAAATGCTGAGTTTTAAAATCTGATTGATCTCATTCCACAAGCATATACACATCCCATGCTCGCCTGTCGAGAAGCAGAAGTATCAACACATTGAAACCACTATGTGATTTTACCGGTAATTGAAAGTCGGGATTGTGTGATACTCTCTGATGCTTGACACTATTGCATTGCTTCACTTTAGTTATTGTTTCAACATTTGAGTCGAGACAATCTACACTGATGCTTTCCGACTCTTTGGTCAAACGGTTGAGGTACCTTTCGAGTCGTTTTTCTCATCGTTCATCTCGCTCTCACACACACACACACACTCTTCTCTCTGCGGTTTTTCATTAATTTTCCATTTGCTTGCACTATTCTTCGTATATTCGGAGGCAAACGAATTTTATTATTCGCAGAGATGGCGGTCGTAAGTAGTGTTGTCAGTTTTTGGTTTGTGGCTGCATTTATTCTATTATGTATCCATATATTATACGGTTACTATATGCGTGGTTATATTTTTGCATGTATGTGTAGGCTGCAATTTCAATATTCACAATTTTGTTGCTTCTTTCTAGTCGAAAATCTATTACATAACAAAATGTATGGCCCGAAATGTGTATGTGTGTATTGTATACATAATACAATATATTGTGACTGAAGCTTGGTAAAATCCAGTTTTGGTTACCACCATTATATTGGCAACGAGTTTTGAATAATTCTGTATATTATTTCGCGATAGCGTACACCAAATTCCGGTAGTCTATTTCCATTATACTTGTACCGCGCTCAGTATATCTTTCCCGATTCTGAAAAAGCAACACTTTCAATGATATGAAATATGAGATGAAAACTTCGTCGAATGCACTTTAGGCGATACACCATATTACAATATGATATGATTCGGCACATGCTAAACAAACTACACACACGCACACACACACCACACCACATCACACAATACACCGTAAGAATGACTTGTGTGCACTTTTTGATTATATCAATATGAGATTCGAGAATTCCGATGCGAATTACAAATGACTACATCTAATTATCAAATGCTGAATTCATAGGTAATTATTCTCATTACGTCATTTCATGTACCAACTCGTGTTTGTATCACACAACAGGGACTTGCACCTCGAGCATAAAATGATGCGCTTCCATGGTGTTTCCACGAATCCACACCATAATGCTTATAATTATATCACATGAAATGAAACGCAATTTGTTATCGACAACATTTGACCAATTGTAACCAGCTTTGAAAGTAAAAAATGTCACTTTTCAACCGAGAATGAGAATCAAATTAAAATGAAGCAACACTTCAAAACTATTTAAAAAAAAACGAATTCAAGGTTTTTCTGTGGGAAATATAGGCGCGAGCGTAGACTATCTTTTGCAAATGATGTAGTTTGTAATTTGTCCAAATAATCATAATAACAATTTCCATTGCTATACACACATATAACCCAATTTATGGGCACACAAAATTTTCTGTACCAAAATGTTAACCGAACGTATTATTCTGATTATTGCGTTGTTTTCTACATTTAATGCTCTTAATTTGTGTGGGCTAGTTTTACGGTGCGGTTCAAGTGGAATGAAAATGAAAAAAAAAATAAAATGTCTTACATCCGTAAGATGAACTTTTCCGCACTGTGATCCACGACATGAAAGAAAACTAAATCTGACATTAGTTTTAGATAAAAATAATTTTCGAAGCACTTTTCTTACAAAAACTACTAAAGATGGGAATTTTTGTATCGGAGCCATGCCTATATGATATCGTAATCATGTGAAAATTTGCAGAGGCTTTTTTTTTCACAAAAAGTTAACATTCTGAAAGTTTGAAGAAATTTCAATGCATATTAAGGGTACTTCCCATACAAAATTTCGTTTTAGAGCGAAAAATCCAAAATATTGTTCGGGAGGTGCCCCTAATATTCGTTGAAATGTCTTCAAACTCTCGGAATAGTATTTATGTGTGATAAAAATAACCTGTGCAAAGTTTCAGCTCATTACGATATCATACAGGCATGGCTTCCATACAAAAATCCAAATTTTTTGAATTTTTTGTATGAAAAGTGTTTCGAAAGTTGATTGTATCGCAAAACTAACGTCATATTCGGTTTTCTCGTACCCAAAAACCCCCCAATACACATTTTTGAGTGTTTAAGAATACATTAAATATCACTTTTGGAAGAAAAATTGAATTTTTCCCATGGATGGACATGGGCATCACACCAGACATGACACTTTACCCTGTCAACCAAAGTCGCTCAAAATCTAATGGTTTCTATTCCTCGGCACCCCCAATCATCCTGTGAAGTCAGATTTTGAATTACTTTTCTTGTTTGAAAGTTATCGTGTTAACAAATTTTTACAGGGTACAGGGTACAGGGTACAGGGTACGCACATACATTCGGACATCGAAAAAACGCTAGATTCGTGTTCCCTGGCCCCAAAAACACCCAGAAAACACATTTTTTATGGGTGTTAATTTTTCGACCGATTCCAATACTTTACCTTACACACTAGGTGTGTGCGGAAAAGTAACAACAACAATACAAACACATATGGTTCAACATGTTGGCAGTATGAGATGGACATTTGACCCAATAGATAATACACATATTACAATGAGAAACGCACATTGAATAATGCTCAGCCATTAATATTGCCATTGGTTTGCGCTTCATTTTGCATAACAAAACAGCTACTAAATAAATATCGGGCTAAGCACGGCTTTTGCATTTGCGATCCTCATCATCCAGTCCAGCAGTATCATCAATCCGATTTTTACATACATTTGGGACGGTTCATTTATACACTGTTCACTGTCTCGTTCTCTCGTTCCCTCTATTTTTTTGTCTGTATACGTCAGCATTTAAGAACGAAAATTGTGTCATGACTCTCATAGGTTTTAAAAGATAAATTAACATCAACGGCATCATCTAGTTTTAAACTCTTATGTCGCATGGAATTACATTATTTATCGTTGGTCTCATGGAATGCTAACTATTTTTTTCATTTGTACGTTGAGTGTAATATCATGTGTCTTAGAACAAAAAACTGAATTAATAGTTTTTCGTTATTTTTTCAAATCAAGTGTGAATGCCAATCACATGAATGTCAGATCGAGCATGCAATACTTATCTCAATTGACTGAGGGCCCATAAATCTGCGATGACAAATCGAAAACATTTTTCAAACTTACAATCGACTCTACTGATTTAACAAAACGATGAATGAAAATCATTGTTTTCATTCATTCGATAGTATAATTTCATTTAATTTTATCGGTTAAGTTGTCTCAAGTATATTCATATTATGCGATTATGCTATTTTATTTTATTTTTTATTGAAACAATAAAATTCTAACAAATTTATTGAAGCGAACGGTGTAGATTTTTCGCTTGCACATTATCCCATAAGTATCTACACAATGTGGTGGTAATAAACGAAATTCCACATTTGTATTCCTTGGCAAATGAGAACCCAACGGAAACTTATGTGTTGAATAATATGATAGATGTCAATAGATGGCGTTAGTAGGTGTTCTTTACAAAAATACGGCATCGACTGTATAATTTTCGTTCTTCGTCACCGTCGCCGTTGCCGTCTTTAGCAATATTGAATAGCAACGGAAAATTTTTATCGCTCGAATGTTTACAAAAAAACATTTTTGTTTTTATGGTTTATTCTAAACAATTGAAATGAATTTGTTCGCTTAAACAAAACAAAATTCGTGAATCAGCAGTCGTTAAATAATCGTATTACTAATAACGATAAAAAAGGAAAGATTCTCATGATGTTGTTGTTTTCAAGTAGAAATACTTGAATTTAAATGTTTTATGTTCATATTGCTCTCTCTCGGTATCTTGGAAATAAAAACAAAAATTTTTCGCTTCCTTTTGCTTTTTCATCATGCAGTCAGTCAAGAATGTGATGAAAAACGAAAGTGGATTATCATAAAATACAATCCAAATGAATGCAAAGCATTCATCAAACATTGAAGATACTGTATTTCGAATGGGCTATTTGCATGAATAAAACGTTCATAATTCCGCAGCTTCTTCAGAGTAAAGAGAGCGTAAGGGTCTCACTGTAATTGACATGGAATGTGTTTATTGGTATACAAGGCGAATTATCAAATACGAGACGATGAATAAAATGAGAAGTAGTTGTAGTAGACACAAAAATGAGAATATGACGGAGTGAAAAAAAAAGCTATAGAAAAACAACAGAAATTGTATTGGGAAAATTAAGCCGAATATATACATATTCAAGCCAATTCATATCAATATGCCACAAGAGTAATATGTCACATACTCGACAATTTAAAAACAGTCTCGTCCGGTATATGTTTCGATATGAAGAGCGAGCACGCTCATATTCATATCGATATACAAATATGCGAAGAATGAGAATGGGTTCAATTAACAGAAGATTAAAGATTACAAACGTAGCAATTTCTATTCCAGAATTGAACGTAGAGAAGGACAGAGTGATACGATAAACGAGTGAGAGAGCGAGAGAGCAAAGGAAAGAATTCCTGCTGCTAGTTTATTTTGGCTTTCGTTAGCAACATTGCAATGTTTGGATATTCACATGTGGCTTAATGCTATTTGGTATTTTTTTTGGTTATTGTTGTTGCTGTCGTTCTTTTTCTTCATTCTTTGGGATTTGTTTTACCGTAAAAATATGCATCTGTAGTCGTCTTAACATTAAATCTTTTCTTATTTTCATTTCATCGGCTTTTTTTGGAAATGTTTATACGACGCCGCATAATAAAATAATAAAATGCGCATACGCACACACGTACCATTTTGGAATGCATCACACACACCCATAATGGAAGTCGAAATCAAGAAGAAAGGACTGTGAATACAGTCTACGACGGCAACGACTATGACGAAGAAAAAAAAAACAAGTTCGTTACTGTATGTTCTGCGCATACATCACACACAGAGAAGTTTAGGGCACGACAGATGGGTTCTCGACACAGCGCGTCATGCATTTACTTTATTTCGATTCATATTTAATGTGTTTGCTTTAAAACACACATATACATATAAAAAAAAACACATATACAAATGTACATACACAAGCGCATTGTGACTGCAACCCAAAGTTACACAGTGATTAAACCGAATTGAATACGAACGATATTGTACCGATACCGACATGCACACACACGCGCACTCACATACAAAGACATCGAGAGAAGCACGGCAAATGGTAAGCACGCTCGCCCATCGAATGGAAATGCGCGTTTGACAAATGTGAATGTATGCGTACGGCATTGCACACAACTACAATCACAAAATGGCATCCAGCGCTCGAATCGTTGTCTTGCTGTATACACGATTTGGTTTTTAACTCGTCCATACTCTGTACTAGCATTGTGTGCGTGTGTATTGGTAAAAGGACGCCACCGGTTTTGCGTCTATACAGCGTCTTTTAAAACCGAAACATCGATTCAGTTGCATTCGAATGTAAATCAAGTTTGGAGTGCGCGACTTTAGTCATATTTTAACTGTTCAAGTGTTCGTTTATATATTTTTTTGTCTTAAGAAAAAGATTAAAACTAAACGAAAGAAGAAGAAAAAAATATAAGTGTTTGAATATAAATCGAATGAATTGTCAAAGAGATATCAGTCATAAATAAATACGAATATTCCAGAAAATCATTTATTTCATTCCGTGTTGAATTTTAATCATCGTACAAAGATTTCAAAAGTAAATCGGCTTTTTTCACTATTTTTTTTATGACAACCAGCGAATAATCTATATATACTCTAAAGAAAAATAATTTCTTTTGTGCGCGCTCAAAAACAAACAACAACAAAATAATCAAACCAATAAATTTTGATTAACTTTATAAAAAGGAAATAAAACAGTGTTTAGCTTAAAATTTTCAAGCTAAAAATAACGAACAAATAAATAGAAAAGTTTTCGTTCCTTTTTTTTTCACAACAAATCGAGAGAGAAAATAATAATCGAAAATATGGCGACAGAAGTGGCAAATAATCAAGCAGTCAGTGCACCAGCTCCTGAAGAAAATGCAGCTGAAAAGAAGGTTGAAGAGGTGGAGGCAGCCGTTAAGGATGGTGATGCAAACGCACCAGCCAAAACTGAGGAAACGGCCGAAAATGCTGGCGATGCTCCAGCTGCAGCCGCTCCAGTCAAAACCGTAGCACCAAAACTAACGGTACATAAAACTGACTTCGAAAAAGATGTCATTTATCTGTATCAGTTCTCAAGGACCCCATTTTTGCCATCAATATCACCATATTGTCTCAAAGTTGAGACTTGGCTACGTCTCGCTGGACTCAAATACGAGGTAAATGAAACGAAACGAAAAAAAAATTAAAAGACAAAAAAAACCATTAGCATACATTTATGTATTCGATACGTGTGAAAGAAAGAGAAAGACGAAAGAAAATCACACATACGCACGCTCTCACAGCCATTCGTACATAATTACGGGTTGGTTCTATCTTTCGAATTAGGATAATATTGTTTAGATATATATATTTTTTTTCTTCGGTGTCTCTATTTTTGGTTACATATTTTTTTCCATCTACTTTTTCGTCGTCATATCTCTTGGTTGGCTGTTTATTTGTTTGACTCGCATTAGCAGTTAAAATGCACATAAACACTTTTCCTTAAATTTTTTTTTTCTCCTCATTTGTTCGTTTAAAATTATCAATTTTAAAAAGCATTTCCTAAATTGCTTTACCGAACTAAGCGACGTTTAGGCGAGTTCGTTTTTATTTTAGTTTTCATGCCGAAGAATATTTATATATATTTTGTTTTTCGTTTCGATTTTGGAAATTGTGTGTTTTTTTTCTATTTATTTTTACCAAATGAATTTCTTGCTGCTGCATGTGTGTTTCGGCTTCTTGTCTGGGTAAAATGCAAAGAAAAATTTATTGTATCTAAAGAAGCAAACGAAAGCAAAATAAACGCATAAACCACAACATTGCATGCAGTTAAGAAATAATGTCTTGTATTTTTGTTTCACCCATTTGTAATATTAGAAAAGATAAAAATCAATACACAAACAATATATATATATACAAAAACCAAAATGTTCAATAGACAATGGCGAAAAATATATAAAGAAATCAATGTAGGCATTGCCAACCGAAAACACATCAACGTAAGTGAGTATTATGAATTATAGCATGAGCAAAATCAAAACTGAAGAAAATAACCATTTGAAATAAAAATCAAATAAAACATAAAATATAAATAAAATAGATAAATAACAAAATAGAGAGAGAGAGAGAGAAATGAAATTTTGCGCGCCTATCTCTTCTAATTTCTTCAAATCGGTTGTTGTTGCTGCTTTTTTTTTTGCTGTGTTCCGGATTGGACGCGTGCATGTTGTGCATGCATCCGACAAGAATGTAAGCGAGAAAGATATAGAGACCGAAAGAAGAAGTGAGTTGACTGCCGCTTTTTCTTTCCTTTTCAGTTAACAATAAATTGAAATAGCAATTTAATAAATTTCAGTTGTGATTCCACCGCAACACAATTATGTGTTATATGTTTTATGTTTGGAGCTGCTGAGGCTAGTTGCTTTGTTTTCTTTGACTTCATTTTTAAGTAGATCATACGAATCGGAAAACAGAAATGAAATCGAAAGACTAGCCAACATTTTTTTTTGCATGAAAACAGAAAAGAAATTGAAGTTTGTAATTTATGTACTCTCGGACGGTTTCTTTCTATCTCTCTCTTGCTTTATCTACTTTTACTGCTGCGGCTGGTACGTCTTCTTCTTCTTCTTCTTTTTTTTTTTTCTTTTGAGTTCTTTGCATAGGTCCAATACATTTTGGCACGCATATAAATGCTCGTCGGAGATGTTGTAGTCACATTGCTTTGTCTCAATCCAAATATAGTCTTCTTTTTTAAATTAAATGATTGTCATTGCGATTGTGGAAAATTCAAAAATTTAAATAAATAACTGGGCGATTTTCATGCGATCATTCTAAGTACATTTGAAATCTGAACATTCTTATAGCGAATCATGGAAAAGACGATGAAATCAGACAAAATAAGAGCCACAGAAAAATATTCATAACCCCATCATATATATGTAAAAAATCGACAGGCCATTCACATGTAAAGTGATAGAGAGAGAGAGAGAGAGAGAGAGAGAGAGAGAGAGAGAGAGAGAAAGAGAGAGAGGAGAGCGGAAAGTCTGGCAGTGAGAGCATTGTTAAGAATTTTCCACAACCGCGCCACTTATACAGTTATATGAAAAGCGGCCTCTCTTGCTCTCGTCTGCTCGCTCCCGCGCTCTGCAAATTTCCGATGTGTATGTATTTGTGTGTGTGAGTGTGCATGTTCGTGACATTTTATTCATGTGTATATCGCTGAATATACAGCCAATTCTAATCATAATGTTTAATATACACGCCCGAAATAATGTGAACTACAATGATAATCAAGCATAGAAGATGCAAAAAAATACGGGTAATTTTTTGTTGTTTCTTCTCTCTTTTGAAAAAAGGGGTTCGACATCTTAACACGATGATGTGGTCGAAAATTTTACTGTTATTTAAATTTCAACGCCCGTCTCCAGTCACTTCTATGAATTGTTATTTCTTTTTTTTTTTGTTGTTCTCCTTCGTCAGCAATAATTTTTTGTTCGTCATTTCATCGGTCGAAAACGCATCACTTTCAAATGGTTTTCCGAAGAGCTAATTTATAAAACAAACAAAAATTACAATTCAGTTAGTTTTACCGTTGTCGGTAGAAAATTCAACATGCGATATTGATCTGTGTTCAAAGGAGATAACAAATCAAATAACAGTCATGAGACGCACGGGCAAATTCAATTGCCGCAAAATAACAGTGAAAAAAAAAAAAGCGATATATTAAATGCACACTCAATTCATGTTTTAATCATTCGATTTCATTTAGCCGGAATTCATTGTGAAGGGACATAAATTTGTGCGCGGTAGCAAACAATATTTTGTTTTGTTTCAAATGATTTAGAATATTGCATTTGCGTGTGTGTACGTTTATTCGTCCTCTTGACCCTCTGTTTATGTTCATCAAAAATAAATGCAAACGAAACAAAAACTGTCCCCTAAGTTGAGTATCCACTTTATATATATATCTGAATTTATTCGAGTTTATTTTTAAATGTGATTTGTTGGTTTTTTTTTTTCATTTCAACCACAAAAAAAAATTATTATCAGTGCGAAGTGGAAGAAAAATAAAGTAATATCGATTCGTTTGAACACACACAATACACGGATATAATTTTATAAATTTGTGTGTATATAGAGAGAGTGTGGGCATTGTTGTTTGTTACCATGCGGCTAATGTACTGTATGCCATTCCCTTTCAGCTTTATTACTTTGGCCAACGTTTTCCAAGCATGAATTTCATGAAAAACTTATTAGTTTGAAAAAAAAATCGTTATTTGGCCGTCGTTTGGTGCGATACACACGTAACGCACGTCAATATGCTAGATACAATTAGAGAGAATATACGAATGAATGAACGTTAAAAAAAAGAGTCTAAAATCCGTTCGCGCGTTCTCCACGACACCATTTACCCTTTATTTTCCGTTCCCTAATTACAATGGAAAATGCCCAACCAAATCTATTTGGCGGCGTTTCAAACTGATTTCAATGCTCATTATATTCTATATTATTACTCGAGTATCGAATGGCAAGTTTTTTTTCAAAGTGCAATTTTTTTTTTGATTGCGGATAAATTCAATGTAATACAATGACGAAAAACTCCTCTCTCCCTCACTCTGATCGCTCTGTTTCTATGCGTTTATGTGTCCATTTTTGCATAAAAACGATTGCAAGTTAGCTAGTAACTATACACGCTGCAAATACACAGTAATTCGTATATTGGTTTGTCAACGGCACGATTTAGTACAGTTGCTCTCTTGTGTAGTTACTGAGTGCGCTTGGAATATTGTGACTCATTGCACACACATGCACACAGCACATTTTCTAAATGCCGCGCCTTTAACTCGCATCGCATGCGAGAGAGAGCTGACTCACATACATATGCGCAAGTGTGTACACATACACGTGTACCAAACAGAGTCCTATATAATATGCGTGTACATTGTACATGCACACACACGCGCACACACACACCAACATCGATGTGCGCTTGTGATAGAGAGTTGTGTGTTTTTTTCGGGGTTTTCTCTCATTGTAACCGAAATCAATCTAAAAGTGAGAACAACGGATTGCCGAGGAGATAGAGAAAGAGAGCGGCAATAACAGCACTACTGAACAGAATCAAACAAAAAAGAAATATGTGTATGCTCAGGCGAAGACGATGGCGACAACAATACCATACGAACCATCAATTAGAGTTGATTCTGTTCAATGCTTCGTACACCGTACAGCTTAGGCTATGCTGTGCATATGTTTCACACAGTGTACATTCTCTCGCTCACTCTCACATTGCACAGCATTTTTCATAGTTATGATTGTCGTTGGGCTGTTTTTTTGAATTTGTTTTATTTTGTTGCTGCCGTTGCTTCTCTTTTTTTTTGTTTTATTTTATTCACTTTATTATGCTTTATAGCAAAAGTACCATTTCCATCCGATCATTTATACAAATCCGTAAGTAAATTGTAATTGGGATTCATGTACGTAGTTGGACTTGTACATTTGCGCTGTTATGTGTACGACGATCTATAACAATTCAATTGCTGTTATATTGCTCATTCGATTTCCATTCTATTTATTATTATTGTTGTTGTTGTTGCTATCTTTCAACTGATTCATTCTTCTTTTCTTTTATTTTCGTTATGCGCACATAAATGATATTTCATTTCAGCAGCTCAATCAATTTCATACACATGTTGTACACACACCGATGAGTAGGATCTTTTCTCTTTTTTTTTGCGCTGCTCTCTGCTTTCATTGAAATCATTACTCAATTTTTATATGTTTACATTTTTCAATGGAAACTTTCTTTGAAAGAAAACGGCAAGACGTGATCTCAAAAAACTAGAGAAAGAGAGAGAGAGAGAGTCCCTCATTCAACTTGGGCATCAACGCCAAGAACAATTGTCACCTGATGTTTCATGGAATGTTTGTTTTTATTTCGATTTGATGATGAGATCAATGCATGATCCGCTAGATGATCCGCATTTTTGACTTAAGTTGCGAGTGCTGAAATATGTTTGCTTTTGTATATAAACAATTTTTCAAATAGCACATCCAGTGCATCCATATGCATTTGATCACATTCACACATTCCTTTTATTCGTTGATGGAAACTCACCAAAATCCATGTAATGTGTGAAAAGAAATATATACATTGAATATTATTCATGCATCCGCA